TTATATATATTTTTTGTTGGCTGGTCCTTTGACTTTTGAAGTGAATATAGTTCAATGTATACATAGCCAAACTCAAGGGAGTATGCGATGCCTAGTTTGTGCAATTCTGGGATTTTTTTTAAAGTGAAAATAGGTCAATGTGTACACAGATAATTTTAGCGCAATTCTGAGAATTTTTTAAAGTGAAAATAGGTCGATGTGTTCATGGATACCGAGTCTGCACCTTCTTTGTCTTTGTGTAGCATAAAGTGACTACATTTTCATTGAAACAAAGCAGGACAAATGGAATGAAATGAGAATTATAATTTAGTTATGAAAATAGACCAATAATTCAAAAAATATTTTCTATTATATACATTCATATACTTGTCTCTAAATATACAAAAATATATTTATTTTTAACTATTGGTAACTAAATACTTTATTTTAAGAAAATTATGATTTTCTTTTGCAGTTATATTTTTTATCTGAGTGAATACTTTGCAACAGATTCGGATCATTTATTAAAATGTCATGAAATTTCGCACATAAATTGGTCAAATTATATTTTAGGCTTAATACATATTTTAAAGTTTTAATGTTCAATTGTGTTTTTATCAATTGTCCATATTTTATTGATACTTCTGTTGCTGCATATGTTCCTGGAAGGGAAAACGCGTGTTCTACAATTTTCAAGATAAGGAATGTTATTTTGAAAATTGTAAAACACACGTTAATGAAGGAAATCAAGAAATAACTCATTCATTAGTCCACTTTTTGTCTGTTTCCACATTTGCAGACGACTAACATTTAGTTTTTTTTATAAGTAACATATCTTTTTACCAATGACTCCTCATTAAAAAGATCATTTTCTTAAATATTATTTTTCAGAAAATAGTTACTAATCTATTAAAAAGATTTTTCTACATATTTCCATAAAATCTTCTTTTTTAATGTCACTCAATGAAAGTTTTTAATATCCTCGAATTGAATAGTCTGTTCTTCAAGATATTCCAAGCAGTTATAAAAATTTCTGACTTCTTTCAGAAAGTTAGGTCATTTAATATGGCACCTTGTTCTTCCAACCTAGTTATGTCCTTTCGAAAAACTAAAGGAATGTAATCGTTATTATTTTTAACTATTGGTAACTAAATACTTTATTTTAAAAAAATTATGATTTTCAGATCAACAATTTTATTTTTAAATTATTGATTTCATTTGACACTTCCATAACTGAAATTTTATCCCCTTCAATAATTTTCACAGCATTGTGAAATAATGTAGCTTGGTCGTGGATGAACTGAAGACAAATTTATGATGTGCCATTTTTAAAAAACAACTGCAATATTCTTGGACATTTATCTTGTGCCAAAAAGTATGATTTTAATGGTTTGTATATTTTAAAAATACTTTCTACAGCTGGTAAAAGAGCTAGCCATCACGTTTTGCTGTAACCAAGAATTCTTTTATATTCGATTTCTGCGCTTCCACAAAAATTCTTCAAACTTTTGACACCTGCACAGTATATATATATATATATAGTATGAATAAATTTTTTCAATAATATTTTCAACATCCACTGGAAGTAAGTCAGATGCTGTTTGAAGAGTATTGTGTAGAATGTGCGCTGAACAACCTACTTGAATAAATTTTTAGTTGAAACGTTAAGTTTCGTAATAACGTTATTGATACCTCTTCTAGCTTTTCCACCAAAATTTGCATTAGTGCAAACAATAAAATTATTGCCTCACAATACGCAATATTTTTATTGTTCAAATTATTCTTTTTTTAAAACAGTACTTATTGAATCAAAAATTATTTATGAAGTTTTACCCAGCAGCCGCACAGATGGTATAGTAGTTAGGGGAGCCTGTCCAATTTTAATTTCTGTTTCTGGATAAAAAGTCTAACAATTGGGGGAAATAATTTTAAATCTTTGTGGTTGGAAGCATTATAGTACATGGATATAAATGTGCATTTATCTAATTCTTCCTGCAATCGTGAAAACGAATATGGTGAAAAACATTACAAATAATTGCTTTGGTTCTTGTCTTTGCATGTGAAATTTTTTGTTGTACAATGTTTTGATCATTTGCGATGTACAATCAATTGATCTGAAACTTTGATTGTGGTTTATGGTATGGAAAGCAAAAAGGCCCTTCACGTAATGCTAGCTGTTCCTCCGTTAACAATACATATTCCTTATCGAGATGTAATGACAATGGTCGAACACCACCAAATAAATCTAACTCGTTACATCGCCCAATTTAGTTTACTCTGCATGCATTTTATGAGTTGTTTTATTTCCTTATATTCACTATAATAAATATTAGGTAATATATTTTTACAGTACATTTAAAATAAGAAATGGGTTGATCTTTGGATTATGGTAACTTGGCTATTTTGGGCGAAAATTTGGCGATCAACTCTGCTACAGCAACCCTTTATTTTTTTTTCGCCGCCATTTTGTCTTCACGAAGTAAAGACATGTTTCTTCTCTTTTTATTTACTGAACACTTTTTCCAACAATCTACTAGCCGAATTACACTTATGCTAGAAATTTTATGTAACAAAACTGCTTAATCATGACAAATATTCACTGCAAAATTCGGAAAAAGTGCACAATACCATACTCCTTACGCGTTTTTCAAAATAACACATACACATAAACCATGTACACACGCCGACTATTTTTACTTAAAAAAACATCCCAGAATTGCACAAAAATGGCATTGCGCACACTCTCCACTTATCCATGTACACTGCTATTTTCTCATAAATTAGAAAAATTTCACGAAAATGCATGAAAATTTTGTGAATCTTTAAATCCGGTAAAAGAACATATATGAAATTACCTGATCGCGAAAAGTATATACCCTTCCTTTCGAAAGATTGAACATTTCACCTATAAATAAATAAAATATCCAAAAACTTTTACCTCTAAATTATCTATTATATTATAAACGTCACCAACGAATTCATACCACAAACATTACAAATGGTTACAAATACTTAGTATCAAATATTTAAATTATTTCCATGCACGTTTACTTCAACTGACACGTATACCAAATTCCTACAAACATAAAATTCACAAAATAACTATCATTTAATTAAAATATCACTAAACCATGTACACGTCGACTTAATTTTTTAAATATTTTCATATTTAAAAAACACGACGATTTTTTTAAATATTTTCATATTTAAAAAAACATCCCAGAATTGCACAAAAATGGCATTGCGCACACTCTTCACTATATAAATGTACACTGCTTTTTTCTCATACATTAGAAAAATTTCACGAAAATGCATGAAAATTTTGTGAATCTTTAAATCCGGTAAAAAGAACATATATGAAATTACCTGATCGCGAAAAAGTATATACCCTTTCCAAGGATGAACATTTCCACGTATAAAATAAATAAAATATCCAAAAACTTTTACCTCTAAATTATCTATTATATTATAAACATCACCAACGAATTTCTACCACAAACATTAAAAATGGTTACAAATACTTAGTGTGAAATATTTAAATTATTTCCATGCACGTTTACTTCAACTGAAACGTATACTAAATTGCTACAAACATAAAATTCACAAAATAACTATCATTTAATTAAAATATAACTAAACCATGTACACATCGACTTATTTTTACTTAAAAAAACATCCCAGAATTGCACAAAAATGGCATTGCGCACACTCTTCACTATATCCATGTACACTGCTTTTTTCTCATAAATTAGAAAATTTCACGAAAATGCATGAAAATACTCAACGTATACTACTCAACGTATTCCAAAATACTACAAACATATAACTCACAAAATCACGATCATTAATTTAAAAAACACTACTACTTAAAATATAAATAAGCACATACATTAAATTAATAAAAATTAGATTACAATCCTAATTACTTTAAACTAAATCATTGCTAATAACAATTTTCCAATAATACCATATTAATTTATTTACTCCTTACTTTAAAAACAATGCATAAAAATAATATCCTCAAATGATTAAAAAATACTAACTACCTAATCTTCTTCAGAATCTTCATTACGTGGCATGCACACTTCCCTACAGAAGAGTTCCAATCGGCTGCAGTACTACTGCTAATTTCTAAATCCGAAATCCAGTAGTCAACTGGCAGTCTATTCACCCAGTAATAAGAAATTAATAAAATTTCACCCATACTCAAACTACTTTCAGCAAACCACGTACCCTTCCTTACTCTCCGTTTCACAAAATGTCCATTTTCACCAGATTTCTTGCACCGCCATTTAAACTTTATCTGTAATATCCTTCCTTTCACACAATCTCAACTTATTATTATTATCAGATAAACACATTAAAAATTTAGAATTCACTTTACATAGTGCCATGCAATCCGAAAATTAATCAACACTATTTCACACAACACACAATGAAGCTTAATACAAAATAATCTAGTACAATAGATATTTTTTCCAAATTTTTACCCCCTTTTCCGATTAAAGAACCGTAATTCGTCCATTAATGTCGCATGACACATCTCGTGATCTCTCATTTCCCTCACACAAAATAATGAGTAATCGGAACTGAGTACTTCTCACATTATTACCAAAGTCCTAGGTAGTAACCTTTATCGCCTCCAAAATGTCGCCATACTACCTGTTACCATATTCCAAAGATCAGATGTTTTCTAAAAAGCGAGACACGGGACAGTCCAGCCAAATTCGTCACTGTGCGGTCACTTTAGTGTAGCAGCAATTTTTGCTACACAAGCCAAAATAACAAGTCAAAGAATTGCACAAACTCGGTATCCATGTGCTGCCAAAAATCGCCAAGGGGTACCCGTAAATATACTTTTACCAAAGAATAATTTAAGGAAATTGACTCATATTCTTGTCATAAAAAGATATAGTCATAAAACCTCATTTAAATTGTTGAATTTATATTTTAACTAAATAAAGAATCAAAATACATCATTATATGAAAACTTTATGTATAATTTCAGCAAAAGTACTTACCTTTTAATACAGAATTTACTAATGTGTTCAACTCTTTAACAGATACAGATCCAGGAACAGAAAATACAGAATCTGGAATTGCATATCTAAAAAATACATTATTATACTTTATTAAATAAAATCAAAATTTAACTTCTGTAATAAACTAAGAGAGGTGGGAAGGCAAAACACACGGAACAGCTTTTGTATTGGTCCTTTTGGCGATTTTTTGATTTGGCGTCAAACGTCGGTCGCCAAGGTAGACCCGGCTTTGAAGATCGGGAAAAAAATGGTGGATTGTCAACAAAACCCGATCTAGACTAAATAACAATCCTAAAAAATAAGCTCTTGATCAGAATAAACAGTCTTTCTCTAATTTTCAACATTCCTAGAACTGCTATGATAAATTCTTGAAACACTACTGTAAATGAATTTATAGCAATTATTATGTTATGAGTAATGAAATTTACAAAAGGTTAATATTTTAAATTACAGAATATAATATTAATGTATTAAACATTAATATTTTCAGTAGCTAGTTAATATTTATATTTTATTATAATAGTACTTAGCTAATATTTTTAATTTACAAAAGGTTAATTTTTATGTTTATGAATAATGAAATTTACAAAAGGTTAATAAATGCATTTCAAACTAACGTTACTTTAGTTTCTTAGATTCTGTTATTAAAAGAAAATAAAAAAATATTTCAAAATGAAGGAAATCAAATTAAATTATAATAGACAAGTTTTGTACCAGTGTTAGTAATATTTTTTATGATTAAATTTTGTAAATGGTAAAAATATTAAGAAGTGTGCATTTTTTAATCCCTCAATTTATTAGAAGTAATTTATGATTGTAATTTAAAAGCTAAAATTAAATTATCATAATGAGTAAATTTTGTACCAATGGTAATAATACAACAATCATCATAAATGGTGATGATTTCTGTGAAAAATTCGAACAGTCATTGGAATCCACTAGTGGTGGAATGATAGCCACTGAACAGTGGTAGTTCAGGCTGGCTATGGGAGTTTTTGTAGTTTTTCCATACATGTAATGTGAATCTGAGCCAGTTTCACTTAAAAAGTACTTTATGAAGGTATTCTTCTTTTGCTAGCCAGCACATGTATTTATTTTCTATTCATGATCCTCTCTTATTTTCTTATTTCTTAATTCTAAATCTTACTTCTGAAGTGAAGAAGTGTTGCATCTATAGGTCAAAAAATATGGTCAATATGTTTGAAAAAACCTGTTCAGTTTTGGAAAGCACTTAAATAAAATAAATAATTTGTATATGATGCAAACAAAAATGCATTACACTATTTCATGTAGTGAATAATTAATCAGGAAACAAAGTATATTGTAGCGTTCCTTTATTTTGTAACCAGAGTTATTTTATGCTTGGGATCTTTACTGTCAATTTCCTCCATCTGTTTTCTCACCAGAATCTAAATGAAGTTTTTAGTTTGTAAAACAAACCATGTTTTGCCTTTCGAGGCCATATTACTAGGTTGCTAGATAAGATAAGATTTGTAGTCTTCAGTCTTGCATTATAATTGCTGATAGTTGAATTCCATGCCGGTTAAGTTTTTAACCAACTTTGCATTAAATTGATTTGTGTAGCCTTTGGCTACACATTTATTTGAATTTAAATTTTACATTTGAACTTAATTGTTATCATAAGTTATCTTGCCACAAGTGGTTGACTGAGTCGTAAGCACAAAGTGTGCCTTCTGTTCTGTACATCTAAACTTTATAATAGAATAAAAGTATATCTTAACTTAATAAGAATATATCTAAACTTTATAATAATAACATTTTAAAGACATTGAAATCAGTATCTAAGTGCTTGCCATGTAGTCAAATTTTATATATAAATTGTATTCTTACTTTTATTATAGAGTTTTTATTACAAAAAATGAAGATTTCTGTTAGATAAAATGTTTAAGTAATGTAGAAAATTTACATAAAATTTAAAATAAAAAGTCGACTGTTATGTCAACATACTATTAATATAAAAGTAATAATACCCAGTGAAGGTTATTCATATACAGCTGTTAGGTTGTAAGATTTACAAAATTTGAGAACTCTAAATTATGAGCAATATATTCCATAAGCTAAGCAACATATTTTTTATAGTCAGACAAATTATAAAAATGTTATAAAAGCAATAATGAAACCTGATTTTGATCTTGATTTGAACCTATGAATTCATGCAATTACACATCCCTATAGTTGTAATAAGAGGCAAATAAGTATTTTTAGACCATGGTAATTTTGATCTCCTTAGCAAAGGAAACACCAAGAGTTTACCTCATGCTACTGAAAATGTGTTTTTTTTTTTTTCTTGGGGGGGGGGGGTGAGTTTATAATAATAATATGCAGAGTTGATATATGAAAAAATGTCAAGACTCATGCGATGTAATATTAAAAGCACCAGTTTTAACTATTAAAATTTTGGCTTTTTAAAAAATATTTTAAATATTGTGATTTCCTAACACAAAAGTAACTTTAAGAAAAACATGCAATTAATCCCTCCTGCCATCAAAGCTCCGATACCTACCAAATTCGTTAAATATGCGTGGACAGAAATGGCGGCATGTTTTAATCTCAGAATTTAGGGTTACTAAGATTATCATAATTTTTCATTTATCGCTCTAAAATGTCGCCAAACAAATTTATCGCCAAAAGGACTAATACTAAAGCTGTGACAAATACACTAATGTCCAAAATTATCTTTACACGCATGAAATGGCAGATTACTCACAAACTGCGAACTATAATTTTATTAATTTCTGTGAAATGTTACATATCATAACACGTAAACACAAAGGAGAAAAAATTAAGAGCACTGTTATGTTATGTATTAACAAATTTTAATACACAAAAACCTAAGGCAAATGATTTTATTTATAGCAGAGACCTTATTAAATTTTAATATACAAAGCTATACTGATACATTATAATAACGGTTACAACAAATTCACGTGCTAAATTACGTTAACTAACTCGGACACATAGGATCTTAAGTATATAGTCGCACAGGAGTATATGAAAAATCTCTTTACAAATAGACTTCAGCTACACTGGAGAAATTAATTCTTACTCGGGCTGTTTCGTTACAAGCCTAATTTGAAGCTCCGCCGCCATAATTTAAATAACAAAGCAATCTTAGATAGACACACCAATTAGACAAAAATATCTTGTTTTGCACTCACTAAGTCTTTCTGTATGCCGACACGTTATGCCGACACCACATTACGGTTGCAGTTTCCAGCTGAGCAGCCTACGTATGGTAAGATTTCGCAGAACAAAGTTCTATATTCACTTAGAGATTTAAAAGACATCTGAAATATTATCTTTTTATGAAAATAGCTGGAAAATTCAAAAAAACGTAAGCCGAAAGGACGAGACTAGAAGTTAAGAAAACTTAATATCAATACAACTTAAATATCAATACATTTGTAACATCTTATGTATTTTTAGTAGTTTTCTGATTAAAATGTATTTTGGCCAGCTGGTCCAGTGAGAAATAAATGATAATACAGGGACTTCTTTTCATCATCTTTTACTTCAGAGTTCTGCCGCAGAGAATATTTTTGCTCAGAAAGGATAATAATTTTGGAAATAAAATGTGGCAACATGCAGAATAATTTTGCCGGTCTGACTCACGTGTGTTTTCTGGTATAGTTTTGTTTATGTGTTGGATTCGATTTCCATTTTCGTTTCACACATAAATAATCAATATGAGCTGGTTATTTGGTATCAGAAGAGATCCTATGCCCGATCTCTCTTCTACAGGAATTGGTTCGGATATGAGCGGTAGAAGTTCAGAAGAAGGTCAAGGGTCCGGAAGCAGTGGTTCTGGCTCAAATGATGATGGATCTACGGGAGCCTATAGATTTGATTCATCAGCTTTGGAAAGAGCTGCTAAAGCTGCAAGAGAACTTGAACGGTCTCGTATGTACTTTTCATTAGTAAATTAGCTTTGTAACATTATTTTAAGAACTGAGAAAAATCTTAGTGAAAATTTTTAAAAAAATGTTAGTTTAGTCATCCCATTCTGAAATTTTTATTATATATCCATGCATTTATCTTGTAATATAAGTGTGTTTTCCTTACTTTAAAATTAGAATTTCAGAACAGTGTGTTTTATCTGTAACTAAATATTTTGTTAAATTTGCATAGTTGTGACTCCAGCTTTAAAATTGCTTTATAATGTGCATTTAGATACGGAGATTTTATTTTCAGGAAGGCAGTGCATATTGTTGCAGAAAGTGCATGCTGTGTACTGATTTGGAATTTATATATTAAAAAAACTCAGAGATAAATAATAAAGAAAGGGCGTGAGTGATAAGAATGTGTGATTTTGTGAAGAAATTGATCCTTAATGACAGGAAATTATTATATAATAATAATCTTCTTGCTTTCATGCAGTCTGATTAGGATGATGAAATAGATTTAAACAGAAATTATTATATAATAATAATAATCTTGCTTTCATGCAGTCTGATTAGGATGATGAAATAGATTTAAACAATTGCATCATTTTTTACGTGTTGAAAACAGAACACATTTCAGCTGTTATTACCACTTTATAACATTCATAGACATTAATAGCAGCTTTTACATAAATGCTGCAGATCGCTGTTCTGTTCTATGATATATTTGAGAAGTATGTCACCTAAAACTGAAGTGGTAAAATCCTAGTATATGGTGCAGCCTTGACGCGACTTTGAAAATTATCGCCAACACCAAAAAAGAACGTCTATATATATATACTATACACTATATACTCTGTGTGTATATAACATAGTATATATACTATATACATAGTATATACTATGTTTAACTAGTATATATTTTCTATGAATGACCTGTTAACTACTCATCGTATGTGTCCCGTTTTTACTGCTCATAAAGTCACCAAAAGTAGCAAAATCCCGTGTGCATCGGATACTAGGATTAAACCACTGAAGCTTCTGTGGTATTAAAAATAAGCAAAAGAACATAGCAATATGCTTCTAGATAACTAGAACAAAGTGTGTTTTGCTGTAATTTAGTAGTCCATTCTGCTGCAACTAGGACTTTTTCTGCTGCCAGACTTTTTTTCCACCTGGTGCTAATTCTATGACTCTGAAATTCTGCCACCTGGTTCCCTCTAAATTGCAAAAATTACGTAGCCAGGTGTGGTTGCTCGAGTTGTACAGTTCTGGCACCGGCTCTCTCTGCAACTAACATTTAGACCAGAAATGAGCAACACTTTATGAGTAGAATAGAGTTTTAATTGCGGGTAAATTTCTGGATTGATGTGCCGTTGTTGCTTATATTCTGTTCGGGCTGTAAATAGCTTCTTGAATAAAACTAGGTGAGACTACTTCTATTGGTTAAAAAGTTTGTGTATAAAGTTTTGGGGAAAGTGCAGAATCGCCGACTGCTTGGCACGTTTTTCAAAATTGCCAACTTGGCATGGTCTCGCATATTGTCTCCTGGATTTGCAACCCCTCTAGAAGACACTACATGCCTCTACAAGGCACAACATTTACAATGGCGAACAGGTAAAATAAATACAAAATAAAAGGGTACTTACGTATTATCGCAACCAGGTTGACGCTATTCGTAAGTTTTGACGCTATTTGTAAGTTTGAGTAAAAAAGTATGAATAGAAAGAAAATGTACATTTATTAATTACAGATAATTTTTAATACAGTTTTTATATTATTTTCTTTTAAAATATAAAATAGCAATTAAACCCTTCCGGTTTCGAATTTGAATAAGTTGCAGAATTATTTTTTCGGCAGAAATCTTTTGGCTATTGCTTTTAGCACTGATTAAAAACCATATTCGCCATAACCATGTACATGTCGACTTATTTTTACTTAAAAAAACATTCCAGAATTGCACAAAAATGGCATTGCGCACACTCTTCGCTTTATCCATGTACACTACTATTTTCTCATAAATTACAAAAATTTGCACGAAAATGCAGGAAAATTTTGTGAATCTCCACATGCTCTTTTTACAAAACTACGTATAACACGTAGGGCTGCCAAATTTCGCAATTTATGCGAATTTTAACCTGGTTGCGATAATACGTAAGTACCAATAAAAGTTGAAGCAAAATTTTGAAAACTGAAAATCCTTTAAAAACAACATAATAATTTTTAAAAACAAACATGGTTAAGAAAACATAGTAAGCTTCAAAAACTTAAAATCGTTACAATCCCTGAAGAATTAAAATAGATTCAGACATAAAAAAAATTGGGGAAAGTGCAGAATCGTCCACTGCTTGATGCATTTTTAAGAATTGCACAAACTCAGTATCCATGTACACATCGACATATTTTCACTTAAAAAAAATATTCCAGAATTGCAAAAGAAAATGGCATTGCGCACTCCTTTGACTATTCATGTTCACATCAACCCATTTTCACTTAAAAAAATGGCATTGCACACTCCCTTTATCCATGTACACATCGACCTATTTTTACTTAAAAAGTCAAAGAAAATTGACAAAAATCCAGTTCTTCTTATTCTTGTAAAATGTGCCAAAAAATGAGTGGGAAATTTTTTAAAATTGGAAATCCTTTAAAAAAAAAACCTAATAACTTTAAAAAACTAAATTTTTTTCAAAAACATAGTAAGTTTAAAGAATATAAAATCCTTACAAAACCCTGAAAAATCAACTTTTCACTGGCAAAAAATTTTAAAATATGAAAAATCCAGTCCTCACAAAAACATAATTTTAAAAACTAAAAATCGTTTCAAACACTCATCGTTACAAAACACTAAATGAAAAATTAAAATACCTTCACTTACCCGAAAAGGGGCAATCCACTCCACTCAGCCGAAGAACGAAAAGTAACGAATTCTCAAAATGTTCTTGAATTATTGTTTAAAATAACTGCACCTCTACCATCTATTATCGTCTACGGCGATCAGAAATTCTAAATTTCAAAATACGTGCAGAGCACGCGCGAAAATGCTCCGAATTTTGCACTCAAAAGAAATTCTCAATTTAAAACACATACTGCGCATACACAAAAATGCTTTGAAATTCGTGCTCTTTCAGAATGGCAAAATCGACTTGGATACCACATTTGGCGCACTTATCAATCTCATAAAAAGTGCCAAATAAGTGGGCAATTTTGTACTTTACCCCAAGTTTTCATAGCTCATTTTAATTTTGAGGTCTTCATAACAATTGGAAACTTTAGATGTTGTACCGTATTTTATTTACAATTTGAGAGAGGTTAGGTTAATTGATTTAAGACGGAACAAGTCAAGAGCTATTAGTGTATACAAAGGGATATCTTTGGGGAGGACTTTTTAAGTGGAAATAGTTTTATCTATGGTACTTAGGAAAAACCACGAAAATGCCATGCAGCCAGCCCGTCCATCGGTATTTGAACGCTTGTCGAACTGCCAGTATCTAGCTACATTTACACTGATGAGCCTACAGGTTGAGAGATTTTTTGCTTCTCATTCTGCAGAGAGGTTCAAAATTTGATTGTACAGCAGAATTAATATTATATCTCAGTGTATAAATTATTGTGGAATTAACAAGAAAGTTGAAATTATTGAAGTTATAACAAAGGCATTATAGTAATATATATGTCATAATTTCATGTGGCGAAGAAAACACTGGAACTTTTAATAGCTTTCGATAGTGGCTGAGGGTGAAGGCTCGATTACACATTTAACACGACTGAGCTTGAAGTATCACAATCTTTATTTTTAGGTATATCAAATCATCACTTTGCAGACAAGATATTTTTAAATCATATTTGAATACAATAATTTCCATGTACACAAGTTTTAAAGTACGATGTCATCTTAGGCAAGTAAGCAGCAGCATGAATGAGGAGCATCTTGTCAGGAAAGCGTAAGCAATTCAAAGGAAGAAGGGAAAGAGTCAAAAGTTTCAGTCCGAGTTAAAACAAGTTTTGGGTAAAAATATATTTACAAGTGCAATGCCCCTTGGTGAAAATTGGCATGTGACAAAGCCATTTGAATGATCTTTGCGATCGACCATACACATTTCCTTCATACAAAACAGTGCACTTATAATAACTACTAAGTGAACCTTCTTTTACACACAAGGTCAATTAATGCTTTTTTCTCCTTTCATTCCAAATCGTACAGAAACTTCAAATTAATCTTACCACGTTCAGCCATTGTACCATGTAAACCACAAAATAAGCAATGTATTTCCTAACCAACATCTAACATACAAACAAGCCCTGGTTAAGGTATATTGAAGGGTGCCTCTTGGATTATTGCTAAGTTGTTTCATTTATGGTAACCTGAGTAGTTGAATGTTATGGAAACCCTATTATGACATAATTGGTTGCTTGATTGTGGTGAATTTTGATGACGGGAAAAGGTTAAGAGCTTGTTTGTGTGTTAGATGTTCCTTAGGAAGTACAGTGGTATTTTGTGGTTTACACGGTAAAATGTTGCAACATTAATTTTAATTTTTTGTGTGATTTGTAACGAAAGGGGAAAAAAAGCATTAATTGACGGGTGTGTAAACGAAGGTTAACTTAGTAGCCATTATAAGTGTATTATTCGTAAGAAGGAAATGAGCATGGTCGAACGTTGGAGGATACTGGTGCTGTTACAAAAGAATTAAAAATGCTTGTGTGCTAATATGCGTTATTTCATTGCATATTTTACCCCTTAACTGTTTAGTGCCAGTTCCTGAAAACTTTTAAAATATTCAGAGAATTTTTCCCATCCTCAGTGTTTTTAGAGAACGAGCCTCTCTTAATTTTAAAATTGATTCTTCCATGTAGTGATATTTTTTGTCTTGCTAACAAAGACAAATTACCTATAAAGGGCCGTTCCCACTTGATACTCAAGGACGCTATCGGAGCCGACTGGTGCATAGAACACGGCTCTACCTAACCTAGCTTGTTCACACTTACTGTAAGCGTCCACTAGCGACAACCAATAAGCGAGTAGAAGATCCCCGTACTTTCATTTGTTTACATTTCGTAGCAGGCAGTCTTCTGTCGTGAATCTTTGAGCGATAAAACGAAAACTGAGCGACTTTTTTTAAAAAAAATGGTTTGACCGAAACGTATAGTGAGCAGGAAAGAAAATGTATTTTGTTGTGGAGTTTTCTTCTTGCAGCATATGTATTATATAAGACTTTAGTAAAAAAGCCACGAAGTGAGTGGGTGAAATCCATTTACCTGCAGAGAGCAATTCGTGGCCATCATTCTGCTTTGCTACCTCATCTACGAGAGAATTATAAGGACTTATTAAAGTTTAAAAGCATTGCCCCAAACTGTTTACGAGTCAAAATTAGGAAATTAGTCACAATTAGGCATACAGTCAAAAGTCATTAATTCGGACACCCATGATCCGGACCTCAAAGCTGCAAACTTTCTGTGCATGCGTCGTGTTATCTAACCATTCCGAAATCAGTTTATCAATTTCGCGCTGCTCTGCGGGGGGAGGCATGCCGCGGCGCGCAATGAATTGAAAGTTGATCTGTCACCACTATCCTTATCTTCAGGGCAGATGTTTTTATTTTATTTGGCTTACAATTCCTTACTAAATGTAGTATTTCATCTCAATGTACTCCATCTTTGATATGATTTAAATCAAATTTCTCTTCATTATAATTCACTTCCGATAGTGAAGAAAGTGACACAGAGGTTATTGAAAACGAAAAAATTTCGATTGACAAATTAGTTGGTATTCTTGACACAGTAATTATAGGACAAAGGAATCTATAAGCTTTTTCAAGGTCTGGCCAGTTGTTAAAGGATTTCCCATGAAGATGGTTGCCCTGGGAATGGGAAAGGTAGTAGTTTGTTGGTGCGAGTTGGGAGTTCGGTGGATAGGGTAGTGTCTCCAAGCCCAGCCACTGAAGGGTTTCCTTGGCCTCGCAAGACACATGCCACCTCGCATTGTCATGGAGGAGGAGTAAACTCTTATGGTTGACCAATGCTGCCTCTTTATGCATCAGTGCCCGATGCACACGTTCCAACTGCTACAAGTACAGGCTTGCTGTGATGGTTGGCCCACTGGCAGGAGCTGATAGTGCACCACTTGGCAACTAGTCGACTAGATACAGAGCATGACCTTGCGTGATTGGAGAGAAGGTTTCGCAGTGTGACGCACACTGTAGTGACAAGCAATGTCTGGAATGCATGGGTGTGTCATACTAGACTCACTTTTCATCACTGGTGAGTTCTCTATCGAATATGGATGCATTGCAGTGCCAAGTAAGCAATGCCAAACAGGCAGCAACATGCTGTTGCTTGTTTGCATCAGACAGTGAGTGGGGTGCCACTTGCACAGCTTGTATGTGCAAATGGAGTCTGCTTGCTTCATCAGATACCTGGAAGTGTGCAGTAAGCTCACCACATGTTTGGCTACTGTCACTTTCTATGGCTGCTCTCAGGGCCTCATCATGCAGCGCTTGTGGCCGACTGCTGTGTGGTGCATCACTAAGAGACATATTCCCCGACCTGAGCTTCTGGAACCATTGCCTAGTGGCTCGTTCGTTAGCGGCATCATCCCCAAAAGCCTGACAAATTAAGTGACTTGATTCTGTTCCTCACAGGATCACTTTAAAATCATACAGCAAACAACTCCAAACGAATGCCTTTGACAGGTCCATTTCAATCAGTCGTTGTGTGAGTTATGTTTGAAGTACTGACGCAACGCACTTTTGCATTGTCAATGTTTGCTTTGTCAATGTCCGGACTCCCATCGTAACCACTTCATTGCCAGGTTTGGCAACTATTTTTATGTTGGGGGTTCATATCAGAAATGGCAAGAACTTTTTTGGTTACCTTGTATTTGTAATTTGGGAATCTTTAAAAATTCACAAAAACCATTAACTTTTATTTGATAAGTAAGTTTCACCTTTTTATCCGTAAAAAGTTGCCAAATTACACCAAGATGGTTGTGCTAATACATAAATAACCTAAATTGCGAAAAACAGTGAAAGAAAGTGAGAGAATACAAGATAAATGTTTGCTACCTTCAAACAGCTTCATTGGTGGGATTACCAGCCTTGCACTGTTGTATCACCATTTTTGGCAAAGTTTATATTTACTGGGTTCTCTATGATAGTGTTTCCTAATAATCAATGGAATAGTAACAAACATTCATTGTAGTAATATGCTAATCTGAGGGACATATATTAACCAAAAATTAGTTATAAATCATTTGATTTATGCTACTATTATTTTGTCTTATATTTCATGTCATTCTTCATTCATTTAAATATAAGTTTGTATTTGTAGCTAATGCAAAGGAATATCTTGAGTTAGCAAAAATGCAAGAAACAACTATGCAGATGGAAAAACAAAAACAGATAAAAGAATATCAAGCTCATATTGAAAATGCAAAATCTGAACAAATTCGTGTGCAACAGGAAGAAAGAAGAAAAACAATTGCTGAAGAAACTAATCACAATAAGATGGTATGTATATGCATAATGTTAATATTTAGCATTTGCTAATTTTATAATGTAAATTTAGAGTGTTTATTATTGTAAAAAAGCATAATGTGTTTTTATAGTGGTTGTGATAATATACAAGTCATAAAAATTTGGGAAAGATTTATGATTATATGAATATTATGTCACTACAGAATCCTACTTACTTGAATTATGGGCTGTAAGGTAAGACTAGATAATTAGAAATCCAGATAGTATTTATGCACAACCAATGAATGCAAAAGCTAGCAAGGGTATGTGAAAAAAATGAAATTTGTTACACGAAGTACAACTTGTAATAAGTATTTCATACAATAAAAGCGCATTAATACATTTTTATAACAAAATGTAGTTTGTAAAAATGTAATATGGAATAAGAATCAGATATTATGAAGGTATTCATTGTCGTATGAAGAGAAATCAATGGGTATGATTTTCTAATAACCTTTTTAAAGTATTCTAGAGCTTTTTGTAAAGGTAAATATTATCCTTTTTTTTTTTTTTTTTTTTTCACTGCCTCTAATTAGAATTCTGCATTCTAAAGATTGATCTTCCACATTCTGTTTTTTTCCATCATCATTTTAATTTGAAATTTAGGTTAATTATTATTATTCAGCCATTCATCAGCATTTTTAAGAGGGTACTCTCAGAATATTTTGGTATTATTTCTGTTGCAGCAGTTAACTAGATATTAACATCAGTGCTGAGTGTATATGCAATGCAATTACTGTCCTAACGCCCTATCAGTGGCAGATTAGTTACTGAATACTGGTAGTTTTGCCCAGGCAAACAGGTTGGCTGCATAGTTTATTATTATGTTTTTTTACATGTGTAACATGAATTGAGCATGTCATTAAAAAACAGCATTCTGTTCTCAAAAGCCTGATCTTAGCTGAAGGCTTTCTGTGTTTAAATTATTTTCTCTGGTTTTACTATTTAAAATCTGCAAATCAAGAAGTAAAGAATTTCCATCTTTCATAAAGATTAAAAACTTTGTTGTGGTTTCAGTTGAGGGGAATATGTGGTTAGACCAATACATAACTATCTAAAATGGATAATATCAAATGGGATAGAAACGCTTTACAATCAATGCATATTAATTTAAAATAGATGGTATCAAATGAAATAAGTTTTAAAGCATAAAATATGAAATTAAGAGTATTTCTTTCATAGAGGAGTAAAATGCATTTTTTTGCCTATAGAAATAAAATGCAATGACAGTGATTAAATAGTAGGTATGATTAAAAGCCTGAAGTTTCTCTAGACGCTAAAACTTATATATTGTTACGAGCAATATATAAGTCTATATGTACAGGCGCGGGGAGATATCTTCTCCGCAACGCAGCTTTAGGGTTGCCATAAAATAGCAAGGAAGGTAGGGTTGCCACATTTAGCGACAAAATTGGCGATATGGCATGGACATATGGAGAACCTTCTGGAAGGACTTCTTACCGGCTTAGCCCAGAATGTTCTCGAACACCAGTCAAAAGCTATATATAAACCCTGCTGGTACGTGGAAAGTTATTTAGCATCGAGTTGGTGTGTCGTCTAGCGAGTCAATCCCTGCGGAATCTTTCGAGTTGACAGCTGGGCAGCGAGTGCCAAGTGGGTCGTCAAGTTCACCGAAGTAGCCTCTTAGTCTATCGCGGTTAGTGCATCATGAGAGCATGTTGAGCTCCGGGAATGACTGAACCAAAGAGTCGGGAGCCGTGCTCTGTCGTCGAGTGCATCGCGAGTTCTAGCATGGAGTTCCAAGAACGACTGAGCAGAGTCAGGAGCTGTACTCTGGTGCTGACAGTGAAGCTGTCTCCACTGTGATAACCTAAAGGCTGTGTTGCTGATCGTGTCAGCGTGTTTATAGTAGATCTTCGACGACTGTAAAACATGTTCTGGAGCTGTCCTGACAATACTGGCTAATACAGTGTGTTTCGATACTGCATCAAGTAGTGTCGTCATTATTCATTCCAAATCCATACGAACCCCGTACCGTGAAGGAAGAAAATAATGTAACAACTGGTGTCAGAGAACGAAAAACGCAACAATATGCTCAATAAGCCATTTATGAAATAATATACTTTATGAATCATCTGGCATATATGTAACATTGTGGGGTTTATTTAATTTATATAACGGTTATTTTATATTTTCAGGATTTCCTATATCTCTTTCAATTCTCACTTTCCTGCTAGAATACAAATTGATTATCACCTATATATCTAGTGAGCAAAAAAGAAGTCAGTATTTAGATGAAGGTTTTTGAAGGAGGAATCAATCCATATTCTGTCTGTTGAAGGCCATGTTGCTAAATTGATTCTCTTGATAACAGTTCAACTGCAGTGTTGTAATATTATCATCATTAAGATTGTCATGCAGACTTAGGTTAAGAGCCAACTTGCACATTCGTAATTTGTTCAGCTGTTGGTTTACTTACTTAGATTTACTAAGTTATTTTTCATTACCTTTGATTCAATCCATAAATATATCTAAGTTGTAAGTATGAGTGGTGCTTTCTGTTAAAATTTATTCAAGTTTGTAGAGTCATTAGGATTTTTTGAAGCAAGAGACATGAAAAATGAGTAATGCCCTCACCGAGGCTCAACTGGACCTCTCGAATATGCGCTGAGTGTGCTACTGTTACACTACGAAAGCATGAAAAAAGGAGGGAGAAAATACAATGTATACTCTCCTTTTTAAAGAAAGACTGGGAATTAAGGAACCCAGTCGTTGATTGCTGGTGGTGAAAAATCATCATCCACCACCTTTTAGTTCAGGCACCACTGTACAGTCATTAGGATTTTTGAAGTGGGAAACACAAAATATGAGCAGTGCCCTTGGTGGGACTCAAACCTAGACCATTCCAATACGTGCCGCTAAGGACTTCTAAGCTCTCTTCTATGAAGTAAGCTGAACCTTCCTTAAATACTTCTAACTCATTAATATAAAACGCTTATTTTTAGCAGGGAATAGTAGATGGGGAAACTAGAATAAATAGTAAAGCATGTTTAAAATTAAAATAACTAAAGTAACCTCTACAAGTTAGTTAATAAAGAGCTCTATGAAGTTCTATACAGTCTTTTCCTAACTTTGTAGTACTTTAACAAGACTTGGTGATTATTCACTTGAGGTCTTTTCAGCATCGAGTACAGTTTATATTAGCAAAGAATACACGGCATCATAATAGGTTTAAAAAATTGCTGAGCATTGACATGCAGGGGTTAGAGCATTAACATGCAGTATTTAAAAACTGTAAGAATTAAATTAAATAATTTTTGTTATAATTCTTTAATTGAATTTTATATATAATATATATATGTGTGTGTAAGATAAAAAATATGAAATTCAAAATTGCCAACTTTACAGGGTTCGTAGTGGTCCTTATAAGTGCTTATAAGTCCTTATATTTGAAAATAAAATATAAAGGCCCTTATAGGTGCTTACTTTTCCTTTAAAGCCCTTATTTTTTTGTTTTCAGTGCTTATTTTTTTGCTTTTAGTGCCTCTTTTTTTTTTTTTTTTTTTTTGGTGTGTGTGTGTGTGTGTGTGTAATGAACGCGTTATTTTCCCCCGTACCAAAACCGAAAATAAACAAACAACTTTTCTTCCTAATATGGAATGTCAGATGGTGAGTCATACTCCTGGAAATAGCTTTTTCCCCTTTCTCTGCATTAACATAACCTTTGGTGTGCACGAAGACTACAGACAAGTGCCGGTCGTTCTATCGGTCAAAGAATTGCGAAAGCAGTAGAAAATTCCGCTACATTCGGCATTCTTTTCCTCCCACCCAAATACTACACACGTTTGAATTTCTATCAAGCTCTTAAAAATTTGCATTCTCGTTCTGCTTGGTCAGTTCATATTCGTGTTTATTATGATCATTATGCTTATATTATGGGCATATGTATGAATGTTTATAATAACATAGTAACATAGTTGCAGTAACTGCTGAAGTATAGTAAACTTCCAAAAATGGTTGTGTTTTAACACAGATTAACTTTCTAAGGAATAATATTTGGAATGGCTTAAATAAAGTAATCGAATAGTCAAAATAATTTCATTTTTTTGGCCAATATATTTTACAATACGAAGGTTGGGAGGTCTCCCCTTTCTCCTGCAAAATCTTGAATATTGAAACTGTTACAGTTCGCTGCAAAACAAGCAATGGACCTTTTTTTTGGGGGGGTTTTTTTTTGTCACTTTTTAATCTGGATTGAATAGGACTAAAAGTTCTGCGGTCTACCAACCCAATGTGAAGAATGATTTTCTATTCCGGAAATTTAACGCCGTCTGTTGAAAATTAGAATGAAAAACAACCCCAGTTATTTAGTTCTTTATTCTCCCAATACCAGGCAGTTGCTGATTCCGTTTGCGTAATATCACATAGGGAAAAGAATTACCGTGCACGTATTGCGCAATAACGTTTGTGGATATTTTGCAGAGAATAATTAATTTGATGATCAGTCCGAGATTTGTTTATGAACACTTAAAAGAGTTTTACTGTGCTTGCTGAGCAGAATATTTTTTAGTTCCATTGGTTTATTTTTATATGATGCACATATTGAAATGTCAAAAGCATTTATTTAGCGGAAAAATCTAAAGAGCGGTTACAGTCTACCCCCCCCTCCACTCCTTCAAGTTACGCTCGACTGTCCGAATATTCGCCAATTTCAAAGTATGCGGGTTAAGCTTTTACTGTTAAAGATGACTGCATGAAGCAAATTTCTGTCTTCTGATTTCAGAAATGTTCCTCTTTTTTACTTAAATTACTTTGCTTGCAATATCTGTTAAGAGAAAACTGATTATACCAATGAAAATTAGATTTTTAAATTATTTAAATATCAATATGAGTGGAAAAATAAATTGTATTTATTATTAGGTTCCAAGCGAATACAATAAATATACCTTATTATTATTTATTTTCTCTATTTTGAACTGAAATTTCATCATTAAATCTTGTAATATAGTTTAGTTCTTCATAGTTTATTTTTTTTCCTCTCATTGTAAACTAGTTCTGTAAATTGAACTATTATTTAAAAAACAAAAAAAAGTAATTATTTTCCATGGTTGGGGTAATGCTTTTTCTCTCTTAATAAGTACTTTATTTCTCATATTTTAAATTACAAGTCTAATTTTTAAGGTTATGCAGTTGTGTATGATGTAATTAGACAGGTGCTTATTTTTTTTTCTTAAAATGTGTTTGAAAAGTGCTTGTAGATCCTTATTTTTTTAACTAAAATGTGGCTATGAACCCTGCTTTAGTTTGGCTACGTTCCCTTCCTGTTATCTAAAATGTGTCGCTTAAACAACTAACCACATTATGTCATCAGCACTGCCATAAAGTCTTGTCCAATTGCTGTTCAGAACCTAATCAAAGAATTCAGGGCTTATATATAGCCCTTTGCTGAGATTTGCACTTATTTTCCTGCTATCTCTTACCCTGCTAATGTATTCTATTGCTTCGCTCTATCACATATTGTCTAGAAATGTAATAAGCGTATAGAAATTTATGGGGCTCTTGTATCTGCAGTGATGTATAAATCAAGAATATATACCCTAAGAAATTATTCTTTAAGAAAACAATGTGGTGATTATCCAGCTATTTGTGATTTTCTGGTAAATTGGTCTAATGCAAACATTACTTTCTGTATGTAAACCTTTTGAACTGTTATCTGTTGATAATGTTGGTGCTTTCAGTTATTATGATTCTACAAAAAGTATATTCACCTTATTATAAGGTCTTGCTACTCATTAGATATGGACATTTGCTTCTAAAAGTGTAACTACAGGTATTTACATAAATTTGTCTAAGACAAACTTTTCAGATTCATGTTTCAAAGAAAACTAAGTAATAGAAATGTTGTTTTTGCTTCCTCAAAAGGAATTTCAATATCCTAACAGCAGAAAACTTTTCCCTCCTTTTTCAGGCCCTTATTAAATCTTTGAAACAATATTTTTAAAGTTTTGTTTCTTTTGAAATAAATTATAATGAAACCAAATTCTCTTACTACTAAAAAGAATTCAGAAATTGTCCATTCTACTAGGGTCAGACCATTTAACACAGCAAACCAGTTTAAATTAACTGTTAAGAACAGTAAAATGCATGTTGCTATTTATAGTTAAATTATTGTTATTTTCCAAATTATTAATGAAAATTTCTTCAAAACTTTAAAAATATTTATAACCTGAATATGACTTTTTTTTAACCTCTTGAAGACTGAGCCATAATTGTGACAAATTACTCCTGAATTTTAGTTTTTCTCAATCTTTCTTACCTTGCCTATAACTCTAGTAAGAAGGAAAATTCTTACTAGAGTTTTTCCATTAAAAATTTGTTATGTATGTCCCCCAAAGTCCAGAGATGAGGGGAGGAAAACCTACATTTTGTAATCAATATTTTAAGAACCTGGTCGAAATACCAGGTTCTTAAAACACGAAACTGTATTTTTGCTGTACTTCATAATTAGAATCATACTTTATGTATCCTCTCTTTAGAGTGGATGCAAGCAGTGATAGCATACATTCTTTGTTCTTTCTAGGTCAGGGACGATTAACATTTTTCATTTAGTGTGCTAGTTAAATTACGGTTTATTATTTTCAGATGCCCAGTATGCCACTGTTATATTTCTTTTTAGAAATCATCCTTAAACCCGTGCTTTGATTTCAATAATCCTTGAAAGAACCGGAAGTTTCGAACTTTTAAACTCTTTCTCACATTGACGCAAAGCATCGAATCTACATAAAAATGTTTAATTTCCAAAATTATTCTTTGTCCCTTTGGCACAGTGTGAGACCCATTGCTCTAATATAAAGGCTTTATGTGACGTTTATTTAAAAATTCAGTTTTTCATTTGGTCTCTTACAGCTTTGCCAACTCCCCGATTTAGACGGGAGAATCCCGATTTCTGGCCTTTTCCCTGCCAACCCAATATAATCTCATGAATATGTAATTGAAATTTTATAGTTTTATATTCCATTTAACACGTTTCCGGTTTTATGAAGGACGTTTCAAAACAAGGACTGTCAGATTTGCATTGAAGAAATAACAGGATTTTTTTTTTTTTTTTTTTTTTTTAAATATTTGGAAAACACATTTCAAGAACTTTAAAAACTTACATTTTCAAAATTGGACTATACCTTCAGCTTACATATTATATACTATTTCTGTTGTAATATTTCTAAATTACATTTTTATGTGCCATTTTGTATTTTAAGATATAAGAAAGTTCATAAATAAAATGATAAAGCGTAGTGAAACTTCTTGAAGAAATTCATTTCCTTTCTCATTGAGTAAAGCTTGAGTAAAGCACATATTGTATAAAATTTCTCTTCATTTGCTCTCACCCTAATGTTTTTTCTAAAAAAGCTTTTCTGTTGCCAAGCTTTTTCCTCTTTGAAGGGTGGGATGTAGGATAAAAAGTATGAAATTCAAAATTTCTAACTTTAATTTGGTTATATCCTCTTCTCTCTAAACTGTGTCACTTAAAACACTGACCACATTATGTCATGTGCATTAAACGTAAGATCTTAACCATTCAACATTCAGAGCTTAAACATTGGATTTGTCTTTTATATACAAGGGCTGTTCAATAAGTAATAAGGCTAAAATTATAAAAAATACAGAATACCTTTATTCGTCATAATTTACACGGCCTTTTTCAAAATAACTACCTCGGCACGCAATGCATTTATCCCAATGTTCTGTCCACTTCTGAAAAACATGTAAAAGTCCATTTTTTGAGAGCTTTTTCAAACTGCCTCTGCAGCCTTTACATATTCTTTGTTGCTTGCAAAATGTTTACCTCATAATGGTTAAGTTCAGGAAACAGCCAGAAATTGCATGGAGCGAGATCAGGACTGTATAGAGGGTGCGATAAAATCTCTACATTGTTCTGCTGCAAAATATCTTGTACGCAATGAGCAATATGTGGTCGGGCATTGTCATGATGCAGTAGGAAGCCATTTCGGAGCAATGGACGTTTCCTTTGAACGTGCTGTACCATTGTTCGTAGTACGAGTTGTTTGCGGTATTACCGGGTTCGACAGCATGTTGATATACAATTTCTTCATAATAAAAAAAATTATAGTCATAACTTTACCAGTCGATTTCACAGTTTTTGCTTTCTTGGGGAGTAGGCGAAGATAGATGTTTCCATTCACTACTTTGTTGTTTCATGGTTGGGTCATAGTGATACAACCAAGCTTCATCTGCTGTGATGATACATTTTAAGAAATTGTCACCTTCTTGTTCTGATCTTTCTTTCCACTCTGTGCACACTTCCACTCTATGCTACATTTACTCTCGAAGGCACCCACAAATACATTTCAGTTCAATCACGTGATACTCAGGAACATGAGCCTGTACACATCATTTATTGGTAGCTTTTGTTAATACAGACAACAAACGTTTTTTATGCCACAGAAATTAACATTCCGATGAGTGGTTTTGTGGCAGTAAAATTAGTCTTATTGAACAACCTACGTATTATCCGTTGCTAAAATATATACTCACTTTCCTACAATCTCTCGCCCTGCTAGTGCATGATTTTCAGTGTTTTAAAATGATAAAATATAGTTTACATAAAAAAGCATAAACAATTGAATATTAATCTTGCTTTTAAAGGTAGAAAAATTGGCATCTTTAAAAGCAAGATTAATGTGGTATTCTAAAAGTAGTTGTATAAATTATATTACCATTTTAGTATTAAAACTAATATGTTAAGGAGCAAATTTTATTATTATTTTTCCATATAGATGTTTTATTTTTTCATCATCACAACTCAATTAGGTTTCTGTTTTCCAATATTTCTGCAACAGTAGTGGCTTTAGAAAATATGTATACCTAGTTCTTAATTTTTATGTTTCAAGGTTTTCCTGCATTAATGTGTTTGTTTCACTTCCATTTCAGAGAGCTCAGTATCAAGACCATTTGGCTCGGAAAAGATATGAAGATCAGTTGATACAACAGGTAAGTGTAGTAAAAATAAAATCAGCTTCACAAAATATTTTTGATACACTGTTGCAAATTTATATTGTAGGAACATGGTGTAACTATTTTTTCTATTTTGTATATCATAACAAGTTTTTGAAATAAATATGATTATAATTAAAGTTTGTTTCAGAGTAATTTGAATAATTAGTGGCATAAAATTTTGTGGAAATACTCATGATGCAAAAGAATATTTTTTAAATGCCGTCCAGACACTATAGTAGTTAGGGGAGCAGCTTAAGATACCAAAGAGCCCAGGTTCATATCCTGGAGAAGGCATGGATGTAAATTGTGTGTCTTCTCATAGGACGTAAAGATGGCCACCTATTAGGTACCTCCACAATGAAATGGCCACTACTTCTGGTCTTAGTAGTGGCTAAAGCCCAAAAATACCTAGTGCCCGTCTTAAATATATATATGTATATTTAATTGAAAGGGGAAATCTGACACTAAGGGTAGTTAATATTTATTATAGTGGAACGTGAAAGTGGTGCAATAAAACAACTATTCGAGAGTGAGATAAGAAATTCTCATTATGCTGTCTATCGTATGATTCAATTTGAAACTGCAGAATAACTTATTCACCCAGCACATCTAAGCATTTTTATAGAAATGGTGATATAATGCATAATGCTAGCTTTCACTTCTGCTAAGTTCGGAAAGTGTGTATTAAATACAAAGGTAAAAATATATTTAAGGGTGCCCCTTGGAGAAAATTGACCATTGGCCAGCAAGGCACAATTTCAAGATGGCCGCTACGCAAAACCAAAATAACAAGACAAAGAACTGCACAAACTTTGTATTCATGTATTCATCTATTTTCACTTTAAAAAACATTAGAGAATTGCACAAACGTGGCATTGCGCACTTCTTTGACTTGGTCCATGTACCCAAGTAGCACGGCAACTTCATAACGATGTTGCAAACTCTTCGCGGATGCTATTGCAATATATCATCTCTAAGATACCCAAATGTCTGGAAACTCCACTGTTTTGCAACCGTTGCATGCTAGTTCATGTTTTTTCTTAAATAGTGCTGTCGTGTATGTTGTTTCTTAGATTATTATTTCATTTTAGATATGAATATGGGAATTTTTTTATTATTAGATTAGGTATATTGTTATATAAAATATTTTTGATCACATTTATTAACTACTTTATACAGTCTTTCATTTGCATATCTTGAAGATATAGAAGTTAATGGATATATTTTTTACTGTGAAACATGAAGAAATTTATACTTGAGTTCAGGTAAAATACCGATTATGTTTCCTGATTTATCGTGACGGGCAATTTTTATTGTCTTTGAGATTTAACAGAAATAAATATGATAACGCTGGTATGATCTGAAACGCTCTTTTTTTTTTTTTTACCCACATATATAGTTTTACTTTTGTTTATATCTGATTGAGATTTATTTACTTAAAATCTACTCTTATTGTTATATGTTTATAATAACCACTTTCATAATTACTCTCATTTACATACTAGAGGATTAAGGAAAAAATGATGAAATCTTCAATAATCGTAACTTGGAATTTAAGTTATTTAAAAAATATAGTTTAAAGTACTGAAAGTAATTAAGGCTATTATTAATTATGCATATTTATTCTAAAGAGGAAAAAAAAATGTATTATCTTCTAGTTTTCAGGAAATGATAAAATCTTTAAACTTTAGAAAAATACAAAGAATATAAAATTTTTAAAAAAGAAGAAAAATACATTAATTATTAAGCTTATTTTTGTACATAAATCAATATGCAACACAAGGACGTCCTAATGACGTTTTCACAACTGTTGCAAAAAGGTCGAATTCTGCAAACATTTAAGCGTCGTGATACGATGCTTTTACAATTGAATTATAACCTAAGAAAGACGCAATAACGACGTCTGTGCAACAAAAAACCTCATCTGCAAAGATGCCATTTTTAGCGAGCAATTATGGTGGCTACCTTATCAAGGAAGTATCTTAATTATAAGTAAGGTAATTTATAATGAAATTTTGTTCTTTGTTTAACAGCCACCATATATGGTAATATGATTATATATGATCAAATTTGGCAATTAAGTATGCCATTTTTATCGAGTAAAAATAGTGGCTACCTTAACAAGAAAGTATCTTAATAAGGTAAATTTGTAATGTAAGTGTAATTTATAGTTAATAATCAAATTTAAATTATAAAATGTAATTTTTATAATGTAAATATTTCAGTTATTTCAAAATTTTAATTAATTTCTCTGTGCACCTTAACTATAAAGATGAATTTATTCTCTAGAACTGTCATGCAGTGGAAATTATTAAGTCTGTTCTTAATGTTTGCCTGCCATTATTTTAATGAATAATTTAATTAATTCAAAATATCTTAGAGATATATATAATCTTTTACCAGTTAATTACATATTAAATTGTTGGTTTCATTTTGATAAATATTTATTTATTTCTAGAAAAACTTTAATTTTGTAATTTGCAATAAATAGTCAAATAAAATTTATTATTAAAAATGATTTTGTTATTATATGATATGCATATGATTTACATTTAAAAAATTTTTAGCAAAAAGCTAATGAAGAGAATATAAGAAAGCAAGAGGAATCCGTGGCTAAACAAGAAGCAATGCGGAGAGGTATGATCACTTTATTATAAGAAGAAGAGCGTTGTTTATTATAAAAGGAAATTTATTGAGAAATTAACAGTTACTTAATTATTCCTATTCATAGTCTTCTGGCAAAAAAATGCTTAATCTTTATTTTGCAGTAAAGGAATTAAAATTTGTTTCGTGGGATATGAGAAAAATTTGCATTCTTACAGTGTGCATAATTTTGTCAAATTATCTTTTTACATATAAAAAAAATGTCAGAAAAATTTTCATTTTGTCAGTGTGAGTGATTTTTGTAAAATCTTCAGTGCAAATTTCAAAAAGAATCAAATTTTTAATGTTAGTGTGTTAGTAAAAATTTCAGTATGCATTTAAAAAATTATTGAAACTGAATTTTATTGAACATCTCATTCAGGATATGCGATTAATGTTTCAAAGTTAAATAGTTTGGCATTCAAACATGGTTTACTGTGATGCAGTAGCCATACAGCTCAGATGATTATGCTTTAATTTTGGTAATATTGGTTAATGTAATATAATTTGAAGATTATTAATATAGAAATGTTATTTTATGAAATTTTGTTGGTTTCCTTCTCCTTTTTTTAGCCACACTGGAAAGAGAGATGGAAATCCGCAATCAAATAGACGTAAAGAAAATTGAAGCAGAAATGCGAGCAAAAGCAAAAGTTGACAGAGAAAATCAAGATTTATATTTAGAACAAATTCGCTTAAAAGCAGCTGAAAAAAGAATAACTGTATTAGAATCAATAAAGTAAGCATTTATTGTTTATATATATATATATATATTCAGTATAAAAATATAACTGCAGCAAATTGTCCCGATTTAGTTTTTCATCACATCTCCTGGTAGATTTCCAAATTTCCTGTTTTTATTTTTAGCCTTAATTAGGGAAATATTTTTTAACAGAAAATTATATTTTTTAAATTTATTAAACTTATTATACAAATTTCATTCCTCCCCCCCACCAATCTACCGATTTTTAGCATAATTTTTCTTATTAAATTAAATTTATCTGGATTATCTTAATCTACTGTAGACATCTGTTAAAGATGCAACAAATTCTTAATCAGTAAATATTTGGATTTAATTTTGTTCATATCTATATATGGTACATTACTAAATCTATCCACATATATGTGCATTAATTCATCTTCTTCATTGGCTCAACAGCCCAGGATGAGCCCTGGCGTTCTCCAGCACCTCTGCTTTGGGCAACTGTTTTCCAATTATTGAGCTTTAGAATGTTTAGGTCATTTAACACAATCGATCCATCTCACTCGGATCAACACGCAATCGACCCATCTCACTGGGGATCTAGCCTAAGGTCTGGTTCCCACGGGTTTTGCCAGAAAGATTTTCTTACAACACTGATATTTATGCATTCTGGCCAGATGACCAGCCTATTTAAGTTTCTGTAGTTTGAAAATTTTTACTACATCAGGTTGTCTATAAACCTTGTATAGCTCTAAATTAGATCTTCTCCATGATCCATACACACAAACCCCACTAATGCAATATCCTTCTCTAAAAAATCCCCAGAGCTTCCTCATCATGTAAATTCAGCATCCAAGCTTCCAATGCATAAGTTAGACCAGATCTCATAAGACTGTTGTAAAGAAGTAATTTAGTCCTTAACTTGAGAAAGCTGGATTTTAAATAGCTTTTCAGGCAATAAAAACATATATTTGCAGCAGAGATTCTTTCAAATATTTCTGAAATTGTCTCATTTTTACAGTTCATCTCCGATCCCAGATAAGTGAAACTCTAGGCTTTTTCAAATCTATAGTTACTAATTTCTAAATCACTTTACAGTTCATCTCCACTTCCAGATAAGTGAAACTCTAGACTTTTTCAGATCTATAGTTACTAATTTCTAAATGACTAAATGGTAAATAAGATTTTAAACAAGACATGCATTTAGTTTTATTTTTGTTTACAGAAAAAATAACTTTTTTCCAAAGCCATGACTGCTTGTTTAAGAGCTGGAACAATATGGGCAACAATACAAATGTCATCTGTGTAAGCCAGTAATTGAATCATCTTATTAAATATATTTCATCTAGTATTGATTCTAGAATCTCTAAAGTATTGTAAGGGCAATATTAAACAGTTGACCTCGAGTTGTTCTATAAGGTCACCTTGTAAACAAATTTGTATCTTGGTTTTCTTAAGAGTGAAAGCCATGAGTGCAACATGTTTTTTTTTGGGGGGGGGAATATTAAGTTCACGCATGGCCTCAGTGAGTATTTCCCTATTAATGTAATCATATGCAATTCTTAAATCAATAAAAAGATTGTGTTTCAATACTCAATTCTCAGTATTTTTTCAAAAAACTGCCTTAGGATGAAAGTCTGCTCAATAGTCGATCTTCTCTTCCTGAAGCCGTATTAATAATCACAATTTGCATTATCAACATAAGGTAAAATTCTGTTAAAAAGAATAGTTTAAAATATTTTATAGGATGTGCGCAGAAGCCTAATTCCTCTATAATTACTGCAATCAAGCACATCTTCATTTTTGTGTATCAAACAAACAATACTAAGTTTCCATTCTATTGGGAGTATTTCATAACACCAGATGAGCTGAATTAAGTCCTTGATTAGTAAAATACAATTAGGTACCACAGCTTTTAATAGCTTTGAAAGAATGCTTTCTGGCTCAGATTTATTGTTTTTTAATTTCTTTATACCATAACTTACCTCTTCCAGAGAGAAGGGATCAATAGTTAGAGAAGGGTTTCTGCTTGTTATTTTATATAGACAGGTCGTAATTCAGCAGCTCATCCAGGTGCTCCCTTCATCTCTGTAGAATGCTATTCTTATCACATAAGACAGAACCATCTTTCCCTCTATAAAGTGTTGTTCTAGGTTTCAAACTCCTTTGTTCACAATTGGTTTCATGAAAGAAAGTTCTGGTATTCCCAACTCCTCTAAGATGTTCAACATCTCTTAAGCCCCGTTCACATGCAACGCTCCTTCACACAGCTGCCGTTAGCAAGAGGAGAAAAAGGAGACATGAAGAGTTTCGTCTTTAGGACCCGTTCAGAAGACCACCCTCTGCCTTCCCCTTTACACCTAGCCTCTGTGAACAATCACGTCTCGAATTGGCAGATTTATACTGTTACACATTTTTTAAATTGTTTATTGTGTTAATTTTGTAATCTGTACTTTCGCAATGGTACCTCAACTTTCGAATGGTTCCTGAATAATATACGCTTTAATTATATTATTATATTATAAGCTTATCTTGGTGTTGTTGCTATGGTTAAAAGATGGTCATGGTTTTTAACGCTTCCCGATAAGATATAGAACTCAAACTTTGTTACACACACTGTGGTGGATGGGGTGTCACGCTTTGATTTGGATTAGATTTTTTTTCAAATTTAAAGTTGAAAGACTTTTTGCAAATATAACAAAAAAACTGAGAATCTCAGAATATTATAGTTGCACTTAACGCACGTGAGAAAAAAAATTAACGAAATTTTTAGCGTAATTTTTTTTAAAAAATATTTTGAGGAAATTTTTAAAATCGTTCATATTTTAGACTTTTGACGCCCATCAATTTTAAAATTTCATATCTAAAAATATATCAGTTACAAACTTCCGACATTTTCACAGCTTATAAAACAAACATTTCGCATTTAAAAAAAAGGATAAGGAAATTAATGGACGATTTTTTATATTTTTTGAAAGAATGCAATGAAGCAGAATAGGAAATATTGGTTGTTCTTGGCATCAATTCGAAACATCGGTTTTTCAAAGTAATAATCTCATTATACCACACTATTTATGACATTATTTATGCTATATAAGTGTTATTGTGCCAGTTGGTTAGTTTAGCCGTGAGATTGGAGAATTTCTGAGTTAACTTCCTTTTAAGATGCGCTTTGCATTCCGTTGGGTTAACGTTCTTATTAGATTGAAGCATAACTACTGATTATACTTAGTGATATTCTAAACACTTGTACGAGTATTTCTGTGGAAAAATTCCAGAATTTGAAGTGTTTATGTTGATAAAAAATTTAATTAAGCTATCATCGGATTTGAGTGCAATGACAATCATTACGAACTTATCAATCTATACAAAATCGTACGCACACAACAAATATTATAATAATGAATGTATAAAATGTTTGAACGTGTTGTACAAAACAAAACAGGTACAAAAAATTCTGCTTGCATTTTATGAGTTTTGCAATTTTTCTGGCCACATAAGGTTTTAAAAAAAAGGTTTGTAATTATGTAATATTTACCAATTGAAAAATAGCACTAGGTTGATTATATACAATGTGTCTATTGAAATCAGTAATAAAATTTTAAGATTTGAAATGATTAAATGTCTATTAGACAGTTTGTATTCTTTAATTACAAATGCAAACTGAGAAACTTTTTGCATTTTTTTTCAATAAACTTTTCTTAAAGTCCTAAAAACATATACAGGTATGGATAAATTTTTATTATTTTTACGGCTTATTTAAAATATATACTTTATAGAAACAGGATGGGTTTTGCAAAATACTGAAAGAAAATTTATTGAATGAAAATGTGACTGAGATCATATTGTTTTAAAAATTTTAGATAAAAGTATATTTTTTTTTTCTCAGACACTAATCATTAACTGCAAATCATTCTTGAAGTTATTAAAAACACTCTAATAATACAACAAAAAAAAAAACCTGGGGGAGACATTGAAAATTGTAAGAGAAGAAAAACATTTTAATTGTAAAATTTTTCTTCAAAAATTTAAATTAAAAAAATTACTAGCAAAAACTTTTTTCAGCTTAAATTATTTTGTCTCACAAAACCATTTATAATATCATAAAAAAATAGATAAAAATGCTTAATTTTTTTAAAAAATCATTCGAAAGGTCGAGTTCCTTGTGCTTGAAGCCGATATGCACATGTCTTAACTTTAAATTTTTTTTATTTAATTTGAGCGATATTTCTGGAATACCTAGCATCAGATAACCTTGTCTGCATTTGTCTCTAATTTCTGTATCTTGTACAGTTCTATTTAATTTTTTGGGATATGCTATCGCATCCCCAGACATCTATCAGCGTGACTGTTTTGCTGACAGTCCAGCGAGCAGTAACTAAAATTAAGTGAACTGCGCAGTACAGTACAGGAAATCTCCCCATTTGCCCTGCTCCCGAGAGGTAAGAAACATTCAACCAAGTTCTACCTCCAATTCGGCGAGGCAGTTAATGCTTGTCCCATGTGAGCGGGACACGTTGGAAGAACCGGTTTTCACTACCGGTTGAATCTGCTCTTGTGAATGAGGCTTTAGAAGATTTTCATAAAAAGTCCCCCCCTTTTTTTTTTAACATGGTAGACTTTTTTTTTTTTTTTTTTTTTCATTTTTTCTAGTACATTTATATTCATCACAGTTAATCTAGTATGGTTCCTTTGAAGCATATTCTTATATGCCTTTTCTTAAGGTATGTGTTAACCCTACATTCTTGATCAAACCAACTGCCACTCATTCCGTTATTTGCTAAGACTCTGTTGCCAGTTTAAATAAAAGTCATTTTTAACAGATTCCATTTCTCATTTGTCCAGGTCTTCCAATTTGAGGTTTTTAAATTGAGTTCCCAATTCATTTTGGTATCTCTGCTTTATATCTTTCTCTTAACAGTAGGCATTTAAATTTCTCTAATTTCAGTCCCTGATTTTTACGGGCATTAGATATTCTTGCTCTGATCTTTATCATTACCACGTAATTATCTGAGTCAAAATTTGCTCTATGACCAGACATCTAATATGTCTGCAGCATGTCTAGTGTCAATTAAGACATGATCAATCTGATTGAAAGTCCAGCCAAATACCGAAAATCCGCCGACCTGAAATCTGCTTTGCCTCTCAAAATATAAACATTCAGTTTATAGGTTCCAGAAACCGCAACATTGAGTACGAAATATCGAAGAAAAAATACTTACCGAATAATGACATCATAATTACCAAATAATAATAAGTCATAACATAAATACCAAATTATTGAATGATCATGATAAAAGTTTTTTTCCCTCTAATCTGCATAGAGGTAAGATAAGCAGACGATTCGCTCAACTCTTCTTTGTCAAGTTCACGATTTACACGTTGTTATATTTTCTGAGGCTTTGTTATTTCGCACGAGACTATTTAGTGCTGCCTTTTTTTATCCGGATATTTTATGGATAAATTAAGAATATTTTAAATTTCAGCCCTTTTAAATACAATTGACAGATTAGAAAACGCACTCATGATTTTACTGCTTGCACATGTTGAAAAAACGTAAACGTGTTGCATTGACGGTAATGCAAAAAGGGCAAATTCTGCAAAAGATGGAGGACAGGTTGCTCACTCCTCAGTTTATAGCAGAATCATATGGAATTGCGACACGATTCTGTATGATATACGGAAAAATAAAGAAAAGCTGTTGAAATTTTACAGCAACAGTGATTCTAACACCGGAATCCGAAACCAGAAATCTTTGCATGAGGCGAAATTGGCAAACCTCGCTGCTGTGTATATATAATACAATGAATAATATAATCAATTTGTATATGTAATAATAATTTAATTCATATAAGTTATTGCAATAATGTATATAATAATTTAATTAAATGTATCTAATGCGCCTTATTTATTTTGCTCATTTAGTCTGAATATTATGATTTATCTTTTCTGTCCTGAAATCCGCAAAATCCTAAAATCCGCACAACCTCTGTCTGGTCCCAAGCTTTGCGGATTTCTGGAATTCTACTGTATTACAATCTGGAGATCTCCAAGTCATTTTGTGAATATTTTTGTGTGGAAAGTAAGTCCTAACTACCATCATATCATTTTCCATAGCAAAAAAGTATAAATCTGTGCCCATTGTCGTGATGTAGGCTATGCCCACCATTGGTAGTTCTGAACCTATTTTCCTTTCCTATCTTGGCATTTGGATCTGCAGCCAGCACAATCCTAATATCATGTTTTGGGCTTGCAGAATACAATGGTGGACTTTTTCAAAAAAAGTATCTTTCTCATTCTTATCTTCAGTTGGTGCATGTATATTAATTAAATTAAAATTCAAGAATCTACTTCTCAGTCTGCCTCAGAATCGATAATAATATACCCAATCCTCTTACGAACAATGAAACCCGTGCCAAACGTGTTTCCCAGGATCAAATTTACAAAATATACTGTAATTTCTGCCATCCTGAATTCTCTGTCCAGTCCATCTCATTTTTTGAAGTGCCATCAAGTTATTTTCATAATTATCCATTAATTTTATTAAAACAGAAAGTCTCTTGTTTCCATAAAATGAACGCAATTTCCAAGTTCCAAATTTCAGATCCGTAAAATCTGTTCCAAGTCATCTCCGCATAGACAGTCCGGAAAATTCCTTTGATTTCATAACAATAGGATTTTTACTATGTAAGGTTGTTAGCCTTATGTCCAACCCTAAACTGTAGAACCAGTCCCCCGATAAAATCCCCAGGGGCCCATCTATAATCCTGGACACTGTGTATCTATTTTTGTCACCTTTTACAACACTCATAGGCTACGTTGAGATTATCTTTCACTTCTAATCACCACACAGGTGTGTGTATTAAATCCAATTTTATTTTCATTATGTTTGAAAGTACTTTGATAAATTAAAGCTCTTTTTCTTGTACTCAAGATTTTCTCAGTATAGAAGTATAAGAAAATTGCAAAATGAAATTAGTCAAATAATATAAAATTTAAAATACTAAATTAAGATATTTTATGTCAGAATTATATTATAAATATTTGAATAACCTGATTGTGTAGAATGAATTTAAAATCGGTTTTGAGTTCTTTGGAAATCATGCTCCAAGAAACTTGGAGTTCTTCATATTTGAAGGCTGGAATCAGCATAACTGTATTTAGCGTAACACTTCAGATCCATTATTCAGTATAAAAATTTCATTATTTAGTGTGAAGTTACAACTGAATGTTGTATTTAGTGATACAGAAATTTAAATTGTCTTTGCTGCACACCTTATGGAACATGTATGTAAGGTGTGTGGTTGTTTGCAATTTTGGAGTGATAATATTGCTATTGTAATCTGAAAGATGTAGAAACTGAAAAAGCAGTTTATGTGTTTATTAGAGTTAAGAAGTAAACATATTGTGGAACCTGAACCACTTTCTTGTTCTTCAGTAGGGCAGAAAGGAAGATATGATGAATGTAGAAGACTGATAAAGCTGGTAAAACTTTACACAGTATAAATATGGGGCATAATGAACTAAATAATGTTAATTACTTCCAGTACAAATACACTACATTAGGACAATAAAAAAGTTCTTTGTTTCTTAGCTAAATTTTGCCTCAACAGAAAATATTACTAGAAATGTTTTTTATGACTGATGACACATCCTCTTGGCATGTAAAAGCATATTTTATCTTTTTATAGAGTTTCATAAATCTTTATGAAGCTCAGTTCCGTCTGTTTGGAATTATCTTCATCATCTTTCTTCTAACTGCTTGAAGACTCAAACTAAAACTAATCTAAAAACATCGAAGAGTTGAAAAGAAATAAATTAATAAAGACCAACATAAATATATAAACTTACTGTAACTTTCCACAATAATAACTGGAAAGTAAGTTAATAACGTAGATGTGGAATTGAGGGCCATGGGGAAGCATTACTGCATTATGTTACCAGATTTATAGTTCAAGCAAAAGGTAATTCAAATAATAAATAGCATTCTTTATGTCAAAATAATTTTTCAAACAATCTATGAAAGCAACACTATGCTGGGAATGTGATTTGCAAGTCATTAATGTGTTAAAATTTGGAAAATGAGAGATGTGGAAATAAATGATATTTATAATAGGGGACTGGAAAGTAATGTCGCTTTCTTACATTAAATTCACATGAATAAATTTTTAACATGTTTTTATTTTTAATCAATATTGTAATCACCCTCGTTATCAACAACCTTTTGCCATCTAGGGTGCAGATTTTCAATCCCCGGACCTATATAAATCAATTGTTTTTTGGGTAAAATATCTCAAGATTGCATTTTGAACATCATTCAAATTTTTTGGCACTAAGAAAATATTGTAGGGATCAGAATAAATGGAAATCCGAGTGTACGGTATCGGGCGAGTATGGTGGGTGATGCAGCACCTCCCATCCCAATTCATTCATTTTTTCCAGTCTCCAGTCTTGCACAGTGCGGTCTTGCATTGTCGTTGTTGCAGAATGATGCCTTTTCTATTGACACTCGCCGGATATTTTTCGATTAAAGGTTGGTTCACTCGATCCAATTGTTCACAATAAAGATCTGCATTAACAGTTTGTCTAGGTTTCAGCAATTCAAAATGAAAAATTCCGCCAAACACACAGAAGCGCCTTTTTGGGAAGTAAACCCTTTGTAACCCCTATTAAAACTGCCTTTTGCATTTTGGATTATCATATAGGACCCATTTTTTGTCTCCAGTAATCAAATGATCAAAAAACTGTTCTGTGTGGTGCCGTTGAAGCAATACGTTGCATGTGATGGATCGGTTGCTTTATTTTCTTCGGACAGATTATGGGGGACTCAAACACCTGCTTTGCTTATTTTTCCATTCTGCTTTAAATGTTCTTGGATGGTCGACCAAGGTTGGTTAAGACTGTTTGACATGGATTTGCTTCAACTTCACCCCCTTAGCATGATGTTGTCAACATGAAAGAAATGACATTACTTTCTGGTCCCCCTATTATACAACCCATCTGGAATCAAAATTGCTGATTTGCAAATTTACTTTTAAAAGAAATATATTTTTGTCTAAAACATGTATTTTTTAATTGAAAAATGGCAAAGCATATGAAAGATATCAGTGTGAAATTGGATGCATGTTTTAAAGAAACTGTATTGTATTTATGTTATGCATAGTGAAAAATCATGAAAACTAATGCAGCCAATATGTTTACCAGGCTTTAAAGCTCTGTTTGGTGGTCTTATTCTTTGAACCATTAGTGGGCATATCAGATATATGTAAAAGAATAGGATTTATAGTTTTATATGATTAAAGTAAGCTAATATTTTAAGAGGGAAACAAATTAAAGAGATCTTCAGTATTCAAAAAGAAACTTTTCTCCTTTTTTTTAATGCAATTCTTATTATCTTAAGGTACTTTCTGGATTGTGTAACTCAATGTATGGAACTTAATTGCATGCATTTAATTTTAGGACAGCTGGATCTATTTTAGGTTCTGGTTTCAATGCATTTATCAGTGATTGGAGCAAAGTCACAGCATCTGTAAGCTACTATTTTCTCTATTTGAATAGGTATATTTTGTTTGGTACTTTCTGATTATCCACATTTTCCTCCTGAAAAATTGCCAACCATCAGTGCTTTAATTTTCACCAAGTTAAGATGCAAAAGACAACAATCATTTTCAAAAATGGCAACACACTACAGTAACCAATTAACAAAATAAAAAGTGTCTCTCTCTCTCTCTCTCTCTCTTTTTCTCTTTTTTTTTTTTTTTTAAATTTAACTCTTCTTGTGTACACAGCGTTCTGTTCTAGCTTCAAAAACATGAGAGAATTATACAAATTTGGAATCACAAACAAACTTTGATCCATAAAATTCAATTGCTTAAGAAGTACGACTGCATGGAATGCAAATTTTTGCATTCGCTGTTGTTGAACAAAATGTCGTATTTCTGACATAATGCAACACATTCTTTTTCAGCAGCTGGCAAACTCGACAGTCCCATTGTGATGCCTTAGAAGGGATGGGAATGTACTCAAATGCAACAAGAACAATGCTAAGTGGAAAAATGGCTGTTGAATTTGAAGACAGAATTGAATGCATACCTAAGTTGTTTACGTAAATACTTTTTTTTTTTTTTTTTTGATGTTATAAGTTGCATATTTTGCCAGCAAACCTTATGAATATTTTAGGGGTACAGATAATCAGAAAGAACCTTCTATCTTTTATTTTTGTATATGTTGTTAAGTCTTTTTTTTTTTTTTTTGTTTTTTTTTTTTTGTTGTTGTTGTTGTTGTTGTTGTTGTTGTTGGAAAGTAATGAAGAATTATCTCTCTCTCTCTATATATATATATATGTTCCTTGCATTTCCGAAAAATAGTGGCCTCTAAAGCCACCAAATTTTGAACACATATAGTCCACCTGAATATGTGCACTTTTGAGATCTGAATTTTGTATTTCAGATTTGTTCTTTATTTATTTTACATTTTGTGGGAGTTTAATGAATTCTTGATTAACAAACACGACAGTTAAAAAGCAATGTATTGCTACTCTGTAGAGCGTAAGATATTTATGTTTTAAATTTAATCGGAAAACTCAACGATTTGAAAGAAATGTGTTGCCACTGCCCAAAATAAAATATTTTCATATTTCATGAACCAGTTTGGGCGAAGCATAAGGTATTTTTATTTCAAACTTTGTCTGTCTGTTATTGATTAACAAAATAAATGATTTAAAATATATTAAATTTATCAATATAAATTACTAGCTGAACCTGTAAAATTAAACTACCTGGACTCTTTAAAATCATTATATATATCTTTTTTTATGACTATTTCAGGGTAGCCGTAGAAAAGCGTTTTTATTAAAGGTGTAATTAAATTTTATTAAACATCTGCTCTGTGGCAGGCATCAAGTGATTGGTAGAGGTATTCCACTTGATCTGATTATTAATTTTATTTTCAAATTAATCTGAGAATGATAGTGCTGTATCTTCATATCCTTGCTAGGATTTTGTATTGAAGTGAGACATAATTAGTTTAAGTTTTCTGTACCAGTTCTAGAATGTAAAGATAAAAAAACTCATGATTTCTGTAAAAAAAATCCTAATTTCTTAAAATGTTTTTCTAGATTGCAGTATTAAAGTTCAACTAACTACTTGTGTTGTGTTGTAATATAAATAACTTACACTGGACTGTAATTGATAGTAACATAGCAGATTACAGTAAGCGTAAACTGTAATCTTCTGCACTTTTGTGAATTAAAAAGATTTTATATATTGGAATCTTTAAATTGCTGAAACAGAAGTATCAAGGCTATATATCTGAACTATTTATAAACCTTTTCCTATAGTGTTAGGATGCTTTATTTGAACAAGGGTTTCGATCGGGATCCCCCCTTTTTTTTCTTTCCTTGCAGTCTAGTCATTTTAGTATTTGAATAGTTATCAGAACATAGTTTTTTTTTCATACTATAAAATACATTTTTCATATTCAGCTACTGATAAAAAGTAAGTAGAACATAGGATAACTGTAAACATTTTTTTTTTTTTTTTTACTTTAAATGCTTAAATTTTTGAATTTTTTTTTTTTTTATTTGAAGCTAGGTTCAGAATGTCCTTTGTGTTACATCTGTAAAAATAATATGTGCTTTAACCCTTTCACAGCAATTGTCTCACATGTGTGATAGCAAGAAATACAGTCATTTCCCGGCGGGCACTTTGGCCTGCCAGGGTGTTTTCTCATTCACCTCCTAGCCATTCACACATTTGTGCCAGTGTCTTAGAACTTTTAAAAATTATAACTTTTGCCACAAAATGGCATTGCATGTTCATAGGATAGATTCGTGTAGATTTGACTTTCTACTCAAAATGCCTTTATTTTTTTCTTTACTTTGGGGCATCTTTTAGGGTTACCAGGGGATATTCTGTTATGCTTTGCATTGCCTTTGTATGTATTTCGCTTTCTCCCCTTTTTATTTTGGAAAGCCTTGACTCCAGTTTATTATGGAGAGAAAGGACCATGTATCAGAGAAAAGATATACTGGCATAGTAAATGAACCAATTAATGACATGGTTGAGAGTGATGATTCATTTTCTAAAGTGATTTTTCTAATGATTCTGATACGAGCATTTTTCAGAAATTGAGCTGTCTGCGTGCCTGCCTTCCACTTCCCATGAAAGATTTTGTTGCTTCTTCATGTGAATAGTCTTTCTTGTATTTCTTTTTAATTAATTTTGAAGTTTCTAAATGTGTTTTGTCAATTAAAACTTCAGATGAATTTGAATAGCTCATTCTAAAATTATTTTTAATGTAAGCAGTTTTTTAATATATTTTTAAGTAAAAAAAAAAAACTATTAAATTCTAATTTTAACGTATATGATAGTTTAAGTAATAATCTAAAACAGTAAATTATGACGTAAAAAACAGTAAAAAAATTATGACGTTATAACTTAGCCTTTTTTTTTTAAATTAGGCTTACTGACACAAAACCACCCTGCCCTGTGGGAGCATTCCTTTCAACTCTCCTCCATCCTGAGAGGAACGCATTAAACATATGTGTGCTGTTGAAAAAAAATGTTTAAATGAAATGTAAAGTTATGTAAAATATGATAATATGTGTGATAGGAAAAGCATATTTGTAATTGCTGAATATTAATTTTAGTATAGTTATTAAAATTTTTGTTCTTAGGAAACAATTATTTATTGCATACAAACTTTACTTTTGTGTTTAATTATTTTCGAGCAATCATAATTAATATTAAACTTTGAACAAAAATTTTAAATTCATTTTTGTAAAAATATTGTTCTCTTTTGAACAAAAATTTTAAATTCATTTTTGTAAAAATATTGTTCTCTATACTTGAGTACCCTTGAACTGGTAATAAAAATTTCATATTTCAGCATCAAGAAATTAATTTAGGTTTAGAAACCTAAGTAAGCCATTTTGTTTAAATTCTGATTTTATTACAATAATGTTAACTATTTTTTTTTTTAATGTTTTATTATATTTAGGTTGCTGGGTTGACAATGCTTGCACTTGGTTATTATTCTGTGAAACAAGGAACAGGAGTAGTAGCTAGGTATGTGGAAGCTCATCTAGGGAAACCAACTTTAGTAAAAGAAACTTCTCGTCTTACTCTTGCTGAAGCCTTCAAGCATCCAATAAAGACACAGAAAAGGTTAATGAGTAAACCTAAAGATGTCTTGCAAGGTGTGATTCTCAGTGTAAGTGGAGTTATCATAGAATTTGAGAACTGCACCTAAATGTAGAAGATAATTATATTATATAGTGTATGTGTAATTGTTTGTTTCAGTTGTTCTTTAATATGAGGAATATATATATATATGAAAAATAAAGTACTTATTTGTGAATGATTAATAGCTATTTCTGTAATATTCTTTAATATGTAAGCTACAAGTACAGGATGGGCCAAATAAGACCTACCTATGTTAAACACAAATAACTTTTCTATTTTTTGATATAATTATTTTTTACTTTTTGTAGGTTATAATTGAATTCTTGGAAATTTATTATGGAACCGTACAGTACAAAACAACGCGTTAAAATTATCGAATTTTTTCTATTCTTGTCAACGATCAATTGTTATGATGCAGCGTAAATGTCAGCAATATTTTAATTCAAGTGTACTGTTTGGCGCAGTGTTATGACCAATAGAGTTATCGATCGGCCTATATTTCTTCGAGAATGAGGAGTCGAAAACGATTTCTGGAGCTTCTTACAGAACAATGATTGAAAACTTTTTGCGGCCAATGGCGGAGTAGAATCCTTTTTTTTTTATGGGGATATTTAAAAGACAAATATGTTAATATACCAGAGACTATTAAAATATAATATACTAGCTGAAGCAGAATATTCGAGACAAAATACTGAGCCTTTAACCAGAAACATTACGCAGTGTAATGGAAAACGCGTTAAAAAGAGCCAATCTCTGTATCAAGAAAAATGGTGGGCATTTGTCTGATGTCCATATTTCGTACATAATTTCCATAAAATATATTTAATGTATAAAAAATCAATCAAAATAAATGATTATTACAAGAGTTATTAGTTTTTAATATTAACCCTTTGACGCGGTCGCTCCTTGAAATCACCAATTTTCGAATTTTTTTCTCCTCTTCCTTCTGAAATTTTTGAGTGAAAATCTATTGATTACTGATATTTTACCTCTAAATAACACAAAATGACTACACAATCATACATGTTTTAGGTCTTAGTACTTCAAATCGGATGCCTTTTAAAATTTGTTTTCTGTGAGACAAAATAACTTCCCTTTATTAATTTAAATAACTTAAAATTTCAAAAGTTATTCATTGCACATCATGATTTCTATCATAAACAATAAAAAATAGCAGTAATTAAACTGCATATATATAAAAAAAAAAACCCTCTATATGTATGGCATCTGCTTTATGGTTTCAGGGCGCGACTACTGCCCCTCTAGAGCATTGTGTCACAATGCTCTAGAGGCTCGGTGGTCGCACCTTGAAACGACTGCTCTTCACAATGGCGTTTGCTTGCTTCTCAAATAGGGATGTTTATTTTTACCCGAATATAAATAAGGAGTTTTGAAATCACAGAGTTATTTTATTACTAAACAGTACATGCACCTGCCCAGTAAAAAGGTCTTTCTTTTCCAGAGACTTTTCTCTGACCTCAACACACTTGCTCTCCAAGCTAGATTTTATAAATTATTTCCTGTGGTTTAAATTTAATGTAAATATACTTTGCTGTAAATCAAAAATAGAAATTGCGTAAAGTTTTATTTAAATTAAAAATACTTTCTGAATATTTTGAGACGAAATACGAATAAAATAAGTATGAATGGGAAACGAATGATCCGTACCAAAGCCCCCTCCCGCATTAACAAAAAAAAAAAAAAAGAAAGAAAGAAAGAAATTTCATGTGTCAGATGAAAAGAAACTAAATAACGCTGGACATATACCAGAGAAATTTAGATCCAATCAGTGTACATTTTGTAGCACAAGGAAGAAACATCATAGAAGAAGATGCATGTGCGAAATGTGCAATGTGGGTCTATGCATGTACCAACATCCTTATTATGTAGGTACTTATACTTTCACTGCTATAGAAAAATTACATCAATGTTTATTTTTTAATTTCTTCTGACGATTTAGTTCATAAAATAATGTAAAAAATATATATATTATGCAATTCTTACATGCATTTTTTTTTTAAATTCGTAAATTTCGCCATTTATTGGAAACATGCACGGAAAAAGGTAAGTTTTTTCTCCTACTACCTAGGTAAGTTTCAAAGTCCTAGACGCTGGGTGGTTTCACAGTGCGACCACCACCCACAAAACAATAGGCAAGAGTAGATTTTTTTTAAATTCATATATTATTTGTCTCTAGGTTCATAATATTCAATTTCTAGAGTTTTTAGTTAAAAAAATTATAAAAATAATATTGTGCACGTCAAAGGGTTAGTAGGTCTTCTTTGGCCCATCCTGTATAAGAACTTTGATTATTGTAAGAAAATCTGATGTCTTCCTGTGAGTGAACCACAATTTTTATTTTTATGTTACTGGAAAATAATTTCTGCATAGAATTAAATTGCTCATATTTATTATATAGTCATTCTCGTTGGTTTTCATCTTCTTTGAAAAGAGTAATCTAAATTATAAGCAGACTGTTAGCTGTTTTAAATTGATTGAAATTAGTAATTTAAGTCACAGTTTTAAACAATGGGTTCTTACAGAAAATCATCAATTACAATAAAAATTTTACTTATTCGAAAATTGCGTATTTTATGTTGCACATTACCTGGTAAAATGGAAAAGCTATATAATTTTTACATGATAGAATTGAATGGTTCTAGAGTTCAGTTTGGCGAACAATAAGTTAAAATCAATTTATGACTTGAAGAAAAATTTCTGAAACTTGTACTGTTATCCAAATCTCTACTAGGAAATTATTATTATTAATATTTTATTTTTGAATTAAAAATAAGAATTAAATGTGATGAATGTGTATATAGGTTTTCAGGTAATTTTTCATCTGCATTGTTCGACTCTGTACATTTTGCCATCAGTTTCAGTCACCATGAAGGGTTGAGTATCAATTTAATGATATTAATTAAGCTTGTGGCAGTAGCTTTAGTAATAGATTAATATAACTAAAATTGCTGTTAATTAACAGGCTTAAAAAAATAAATTTTTATAAAATTTATTTGAAAAAGTCAGTTTAAAATTAAAAATAAAGCAATTATAAATGCAAAAAGATTAAAAGGTTTCAGATTTGAAGGGTCACTCAAAAGGGTTTAATAGGGATTGTTTTGCTATTACTGAGTTTCCAGTCTACCAGTCTGCTGTTAAATTCATTCTTAGTAACCGTCTCCCTTTCTTTTCTTTTTTTCTTTATTCTTAAGCATAAATTTCTTTGCGCTTGTGTCGTATACAATTCAACAGCAAAGTTACAAAAATTTTAAAAGCTGCAGAGCAGTATATATTTAGAACTCCCGATTCAGCATTAAACTTTGGCATTCATTTTTCTGTAAATCAATTGTTCAGTTTTCTTACTAATATGTCTTTATGGAACTTTTTTTTCTTTTTATTATTAACATTTTGTGTGTTTACTTTATTTCTTAAATACCAGGCTCTCGCCCCTTATGAAACATAAAATTCGATTCAACAGCAAAATCATAAAATATTTAAAAAGAATTTCCAATAGATGGTCTTGTCTGCAAAAGATAATTTTTTTTTCTGTACAGTATAGCCAGTGCTCACTTTGAAATCGTTTAGTTTGCTAATGAAAAATTTATTAAAGTTTTACAAAATATTAAATAGATTATAAAACAAATTCAAAGTTCAGACTTCCAGGTGCCCATGTTTGAGAGGAGGATTACGTTATTCAAAATGTGATGCCTCTATTTATAATTAATTTTTTATAGTGTGAGAAACACACGTACATTCATCCAGATTTTTCATTATTTAATTTCTCTAAATATAATGCAGAGTGATAATATTTGGTCGCAAAAATTTGTAAAGTGAGGCATTGTTTATTGTGATTCAACGCAAAAACCATTTAAGATTAATATCTCATTTGGGACTAACATCCCTTTTGAGCTAATAAAAAAGACCTGATTTAAATGAGTCAAATATCTTGATTTAATTAATGTTAAAAAAATATTATTTTTATACAATTTAGTGAAAAAAAAAACAATGGTAGTGAGGATATTATAGAAAAGCTTTATTTTCTGTATTTGTTGCTGTCTATATATAATATGTTACTGTTTCAATAACTTTTAAAAGTTTGCTTTCTTGTGTTAAACTCATTGAATGTATTTTCATTTGGTTTGGCAATCCTGCGTTAAATACTGATAATATAACTTACGTTTGGCAGTCCCACATTACAAAATTCATAGCTGTTCTTGTGTTTTTTAATTAATAATAGTGCTTAATAAAATGAATCCACTATTTTTAATTTTAAAATAACTTTTGTATTAATTAATATATTTTTAATGGGAAATACATGAAGCAGATAAAGCTGTGTGTAACTGATATTATTTGTCTGAGGAATGAAAAGAATTTAAGCTTTATTAAGATGAGGTTATCATTTACAAATTCTAGAGTGACATGTATCATTTCAAGTTTCATGCATTTGCATTTGAATATTTAATATTGTGTTACATAAATTATGTGCTGAAAATTAAATATTGAGGTTTAGCCATCTATGCTGTACCTTTTCTTGTTGGTGACTTAAAAACAGTAGACTAACCAGTCTGGGTAATATCTGTATGAAAGCCTCTGAAAGGCATCTTTATGAGTTTGGAAAGAGGGTCAGTTTGAATGCCTGGCAAGCACTGAGCCACGTTTATTTATGAATGTGCACTAAGCTTTCAGAACTAAATTGTGTAAAGTGAGGAAATAATTAGAATAGCCTTTACAATTAATGAAAAAATGTAGCTGTGACACTGCTTATCTGTATGTGCATTTGACTTTTTTCATTCAATAGTTTAATAATCATTTCTAATTGAAAACTAAGATAGAAAAATATCACTTTTCCATCCATTTAATTTTTAGCCCACATTAGAAGAAAGGCTGAGTAAAATTACAATAGCTACCAGAAATACTAGGAAGAACAATGGAATGTACAGAAATATGCTCTTGTATGGTCCGCCTGGAACTGGAAAGACATTATTTGTCAAGGTAAGAAGTAATTTGTGTTATTTTTAAACATTCAGGTGCATATCCACTGTAAATTTATTATTTATGTCTCTGAAATAGAAGATTTATTTCACATTTAAAAGTTTTCATTTTACATTTAATTTACCCAAATTAATTTAGAATATTTTGGAGCACATGGAATTGGGCTTGTGTTTTAAAATGTTTATACAGTCAAAAGTCGTTAATTCGGACACCCATAATCCGGAATGATCTATAATCCGGACCTCAAAGCTAAAATCTTTCTGCGCATGCGTCGCATTGACGCATGCGCATAGGCGTTTTACTCGTGCGCGCAAGACATTTATCACTGCGCATATGCGTCTGCGCAAGTGCAGAATACGTTTTCGCGTGCACGTTTAATATATAACGGACGGTATAAGCTAAAATTATCTAATTATCTATTTCAATTAATGTTGATGATTGCGTTGTTCTTTAATCTTCGAATTGGATCCGGCTTATTATTTTTTGCAGACTGTAAGAGCAATTTTCTAAAAGTAAGCTTGAACTTTCGATTATGTCAAATAGAATTTCTGATGCTGGAGCTCCCAAAGGATCTAAAACGAAAGTATGTTTCGATGTCCATCAAACAAAAACGAATTGCTACAAAAAATGGATAAAGGCATATTCTTTGTTTATCTAACCGTTCGGAAATCTGTTTATCAATTTCACGCTGCTCTGCGCAGGGGGGGGGGACGTCGCGGCGCGCAATGAACTGGAAGTTGATTTGTCAACACTATCCGTTATCTTCAGGGCAGATGTTTTTATTTTATTCGGCTTATAATTCCTTACTAAATGTAGTATTTCATTTCGGATGTACTCCGTCTTTGATATGATTTAAATCAAATTCCTCGTCATCATTATAAATATCACGAATACAAATCAAATAGTTTTCTGGTTGCAATTTTCTAATTTCGGCTATGCGTAAGGTATGCTTTACGCATCCGCGCGTTGAAAGAAATGTTTAATAAAGTAAACAAATAAATATTAGGCTTCTTTTTTGGTAAATTTTGATACCCTTTAGATCATAATTGCTCATTATTTTATAAATTACGGTTTCATATTTTTAATTTTATAATTTCTGCATGCCATCTTACCAGATTTAAACTGATGATCTATAATCCGGAAAAATCGATAATCCGGAATCGAAGTCCCGACGAGTCCAGATTAAAGACTTTTGACTGTATTTTACTGGCTTGTTTATTATTTATTATTGTGATGAACAATATTTGTTTAATTCTCTGCATTTTTGAAAAGTTACTTTTTTGTTCTTTGTGATTTTTGTTGTTATTTGTAAATATTTCTGGTAGATTTTGTATGTATTTGTTTTTTTAGAGGTTAGCTCAGCACTGTGGTATGAATTACGCAATTTTGAGTGGTGGTGATGTGGTTGCAATGGGCAGGGAAGGAGTTAATGCTATCAATAAAGTTTTTGATTGGGCTAATAGCTCTAGGAGGGGGTAAGTTTCAAATTGTATTTATATTAGAATTAAGGATATTATACACTATTGTATTTTTACTTCCTTGTACAAAGTAAAGGAAGTATTGTAATCATGAAAAATATTGGGTGTCATATGTCTGCAGAAATATTTATTTTGACCCTTCCCAAATCCATTGGGGCAATTTTAATTTTAAAAAAAAAAAATTTATTGTATTTATTTATTGCATGGCATCTGCACATACATACAGAATAAAGGACACTTTGTTCCAAAATGTATTTTTGGGCGGGGTGACCTCTGTATGTGAGGCACGGTGGTGCAGTGGCTAGCGCATCGCGCAGCAGCACCACAGGTCCGGGGTTCGAAACCCGGGCTGGGCAAGGTCGACTCAGCCTTTCATTCCTTGGGTCGATAAAATGAGTACCAAGTTTGCTTGGGGACTAAACACTGGAGGGGGGGCCTGTGACAAGCTGACCACTTGTTCAGGGCATATGCTTATGCACCCCAGGCCCCACGGTTAAGAAAGCAGATTTTGAGGCACTGCATGCCTTGGCCCATTAGGGCTGTTTGCGCCACTGAGTTTAGTTTTTAGACCTCTGTATGTACATATGTATGAATGTATATTGCATAACTCAAAAATGATTAGTCATAGAGCGTTGAAAGTTTGTATTTGGGATTGCTGTATCATCTTATTGTGCACCTCCCTTTTCTATTGCAGTTCGTACTACTAAATGTACAGTGGATGGACAAAAAATATCGAAACACCTTGTGAAATGCATGTTTGAAAAGAAAGATTGATTTTAAGAAATATGTAGGTTGCGCTGGCGTTTTTGACTACTGACGCCACCTATACAACTTCGTAAATGTGCTAAACAGTTCAGTTGTTGTCGGAGTACTGTTATGTGAGGTTGTCATTGCATTATGTCAGAGTTAACAGACTTCGAACGTGGGCAAATTGTTGGAGCACGTATGGTAGTTGCTTCCGTAAGCAAGGTAGCCGAGGTGTTTAGTGTTTCAAGAGTACTGTATCGAAGATTTATTCCGCATATTTGAAAAGCGGAAAAACATCATCTGCTAAATCACAGCGCGGACGAAAGTGTGTCCTGAGTGATCGTGACAGACGATCATCAAGGGCAGTTGTGACAAAAAATAAGAAGACCACAACTGCAAAAGTTACTGCTGAAATGAATGTTGTGTTACCGAACCCTGTGAACCCTATGAGTACCAAAACAATTAGAAGGGAGCTTCATAAACAGGGAATTGCTAGCCGTGCTGCAATTGAGAAGCCACTCACCAGTGATGCTAATGCCTGTAACAGGAAAAGGTGGTGTTTAAGTCATAAAGCCTGGACTACAGAGCAGTGGAAGCGAGTAATATGGTCTGACGAGTCTTCTTTCACATTGTTTCCCACTTCTGGCTGAGTTTACGTTTGGAGAACGCCATCTCAAGCCTATAATACAGACTGCTTGTTGCCAAGAGTGAAATATGGCGGGGGTTCTGTTATGGTTTGGGCAGCCATATCGTGGTTCTCTGCTAGCCCCATGATAACTGTGTCAGGGCACATGACTGCCAAGACATTTTGGCCGATCAAGTTCATCCTATGGTACAAACTTTGTTCCCCGATGGTGATGGTGTCTTCCAAGACGACAAAACCCCTGTTCACACAGCTCACATTGTCCAGGACTGGTTTTCTGAGCACGAGGATGAGTTGTCCCATCTACCCTGGCCACCACAGTCACCAGACCTGAATATTATCGAACCTTTGTGGTCTACATTGGAACGGAAAGTGCGTTCTCGTTATCCACCGCCAACATCGTTATCTGAACTTGCCACCTTTTTGCAAGAAGAATGGTATAATATTCCCTTGGCAAACATACAGGAACTGTATTTATTTATCCATTCCGAGAAGACTGCAAGCTGTTTTGGATGCCAACGGGTTTCCTACACCATATTAAGCAAAGAAACATGTTTTTTTAAAGATGTTTCCGTATTTTTGTTCAACCCCTGTATATATACACCTATGTGTTACTCGGCTTTAAAAGTCTGTACCCTGCCTTTATATTCGTAATTGTTGGTTGCAGTAATGTACTTCCAGTTACAGCAGTGTGTTAAATGACAAAAATATTTCTGTTTCAGCGATGTCGAATTTAAGAAAAAAGTAATAATAGTTTAGACAAATAATGAAATTAATGCAATCTCCTGGTTCTTGTACTTATATTTGGAAAAGTTTTTTACTTGTTATAAAAAAGTAAAATTCTAAGAAGTTTAGCTTCAGTATAACAAAAACTGACTGGGAGGTTTAATATCAAAATTTGCAATTTTTACTGTCATTTTCAACTTGCCTTGAGAGCTTGATTAATTAAGTTTAGTTTGATGATGTAAGTGTAGTTAAAAATGGGTATAAATTAATAAAGCTGTACAAGGAAGTCATGTGGTCTCTACATCAGGTGTTTTTACTTGCATTTAGTCTGATTTTTATATATTTTTGTAATCGGTGAATTATATACATAAGAATTTACTGTTGCTAAGATGGAGGAGAACAGATTGGCTATGCAAATAAATGAAGCAATTACAATCAATCTAGCGGAAATTGCAGGATATGTAATTTGTACTGAGTTTCACTGTTTATAGAAATCATGAGATGAGTAATCGGAGGGCTAAGAATGGCAATAAATTATTTGGTACTTTCTCAGTTTTATGACTTCTGGTTTTTAAACACATTCAGCAATGAATTGTCAACAACAGTCCTTAAGTTAATTACTTTAATTGGGTAAAATTAAGTGCATGTGCTGTTGTTTAGCCTTTGCAGTATAAACTTTTAGTTACATACGAAAAAAAAAAAAAAAGATTTAAAATTAATTTTAAGATATGTATTTGAGATGATTACTGCTTTGTGCGACATTGTTTATTTTGCAATGTAATATCAATAAATCGTGTTATATTCACAATTATTTATTATTCTTATGCTTGAGAGTTTGACTGATAATGATCATTTACCTAGTTTTATAACTTCTCGTGTGCTTTGCTATCATAAACTTAAACTGTACCTTAGAAGACTGTTTAGGTAATAAACCCTAAGTCTGAAAGTATGAAGAAGGATGTAAAGAACCATTTATTAACTCAATTGAAAGTTCACAAATGACACTGACTCATGCTTATAAAAACTCAAAAGTATTAACTCAAAAAGTAATGACTAACTTAAAATTAAAGAAGTTAAACTAACCTAACGACTTCACAGGGCTCTGACTTGAAAATTGGCATAAGCAAGCCTAATGGCAAGAATTGCATTTATCTCAGCGCCACAGAAATCTAATTGCTAGGAAAGCAAAGATAGCAACATGGCCTTCAGGCAGGCAGAATATGCTCTGATTTCACATTCAAAAACCTTCTCTTAAATAGTAACTTCTTTCTACCTCATTTGAATACATACATCCTAGGTCATTTACATTCTTGCAGGAGTTGAAAGCAAGAATGATAGGAAAGCTACTTCAGCATAAAATAAATGCTAAGTAAATTAATTCAGAGTAAATTCTAATTTCAGAGTTTATTCATCATAAGAAAAGCTGTGAATAGGTTGTGTGTTAACATGGTTCTATTTTTCAAAAATATGTTAATTTTTTATTTACTGATGACTAAAGAAGAAAAAAGCTCTGTAGACAATAATTTTATATACGGTCAAAAGTCTTTAATCCGGACCTCAAAGCTACAAACTTTCTGTGCATGCGTAAACGCATGATGAGTTTACGCGTGCGCATAATACGTTTATGCATGTGCGTTTAATGTATAACGGACGGTATAAGCTAAGCTAAAATTATCTAAATATCTGTTTTTAATTTTAGTAATTTTAATAATTTTTTTTTTGTAAATTTTGATACCTTTTAGATCATAATTGCTCTTTATTTCATAAATTTCATAAATTATCTCATTTGTAATTTTATAATTTCTACATGCCATCTTACCAGATTTAAACTGATGATCTATAATCTGGAAAAACCGATAATCCGGAATCGCCGAAGTCCCGACGAGTCCGGATTAAAGACTTTTGACTATATTTTCTTTCTTCTTTCAATGATAACAATTTTTGATCTGCCAGTGATGGAAAAAAAGATGTTATATCATTCTTCCAAACAAAAAGCATTTTACCACATATTCAAATTTGTGAAAACAGCCACAAAATGAAACTATGTATAAATAAAAGAATTTGGAGATGCAATGTAAAAATCACTATGATTTATTTACTTTTGGGCAGAAGAATTGATATTGATAAGGGGTGCAAGAAACAAATTTTAAAAAATTTTACTTGGGAAGATTGTGGTATTTACTGTACTTCTTTATATATATATATATATATATATACAGTAATAATAATGATTTGGGATTTTGTAATGAAATGTTATGTCATTTTTCCAAGCATTTTATTTCATTCAGACAAACTTGGCCATAATCTTGGTGCCATTATGATGGGGATTATGAAAAAGGAAAGTACCAAATATTCTGATAGTAAGAGATTTTATATCAAAAATTAATTTAACTTTTGCAATAAAATTATTGCATGCTTAATTTACATAATCTTAAATATCTTAAAACACAATTTTTTTCTGAAATTTTTATCTGGAAAAACTATGATGGTTGTAAGAGGAAAAAATTTTCATTTTTCTTCTGTGCTTGCTGCATTTTAAAGCTACAATTAAAATTAGAAATTCAAAAATATGTTTGTGCAAGCTAAGCTTAACTGGTAATTAAAATTTCAATACTTTTAGGCTTCTTTTATTTATGGATGAAGCTGAAGCATTTTTGAGAAAAAGGAGTTCAGTAAGTTGCAATTTTGACTTTTGTATAACAATTTTGCATTACAAAAATCTATATAATTAAATTTAAAATTTATATTTTTAGTGCATTTTCTGTTGCATGTATAAGAAAATAAGTGTTTGCCTTGAATGTGTAAACTGTTATTTTTATATTGCTTGTAATTTTTAATTTAGTTTTGATTGACTTTTTGATTTCAGTTTCTTAAAAGCTGCTGTACTATTTTGTAGCATTTTTAGGTATTGCTTTTGATAGAAGGATGGTATTATATTTGGCATTCAAAAAATCAGAGGAGTGGGAAAAAATTTAGTAAATAATTTTGAGAAAATTTATGAAAGCAAGGAATTGAAATTTCTAAAAAGAGAATTCTAGGGAATAAAATGGACTTAAACTTATTAGAATACTGTTCACTTATACGAATAGGCCTGATGTTGACATTGCTCAGGATGCATTATTTCTGATTTATTTTGGAGTAATATCTAAAGCAATTATAGCCTGTGGTATTTATTTGATTGAATTGGATTATTTGATTATGGCAGAACACACAAGTAAAAACACACAAGAACTATCTATCTAAGGAAAGAAATACCTCCATGGAGGACTTTGCAACAGAAATTACCTCATATTCACATTACACATAAAGAAAACCATGAAAACTTCCATGCAGCCAGGCATCTACTTCGATTTGAACCACCAGTGTTCAGCTGCTTGTGGGCTCTTTTGGTATTAAGTTGAAGGAATAATGAATGTCTTCTTATAATATTCAATGTAGGCTGAACAAGGTTTAGATTTGGCATTGAGTCCATATGGTATTTTTATCCTAAAGGCATTTTATCACTTCATCCTGATGTGGATAAGTATTATCATCTTTTGACATTTTCATTTATTGACTTGTGTGATATCATAATGATATCATTTAAGTAATTTTGAGCATAGAAGTTATCTCTTTGTCAGATAACTTCTTAACATGAAGGTCTATGCATTTGTTTTAAAAAATCTCCACCACCGATGTTCACTGAATTATATTATAGTTGTCTTTCTGATGAATATTAGTAGAATGATATTGGATATCTTTTTCTCATACCAAAGTATACTAGAGCTGTAAACAGTATAAGAATTATCTGTTGTGTTCAGTCTACTTTACATACTTGTATTACATATACATATGAACAATGCATCTGGAATAAGATTTGCAGAAAACTGTCCTTATAGCTCTGGATATCAGTTTATTCTTTTTATGCATAAAATGCTCTTTCAAAAGTTGTATTTTAGGAAGAGGTATGTGTTTTCTTTAGGTAATCCTCTAATTTCTGGTTTTTAATTTATCAGATATTAGATTATCATGCTCATATGTAATTTTAGGAGAATTATTGATCAGTAAGTGTCAAAGTCTAGAAAAACTATTTTCAAAAGATGACTTTTGCCTATGCTGATGATGTCATAATTTCATGGTTATAGGAGGAATTAAAGAGACACTTTTTGCTATGAAGAAATCAGCTGCTAAAATTCACTTGAATATCAATAAAAAGAAAACCAGTAATATAACAGTTACTAAAGAACCAGTAAACTTCAATTACCTTGAAGCATAAAATCACAAATTAGAATTAATGAATAGTTCTGTTTATCTTGGCTCTAAAGTAGATTCTCGAAACAATATTGATACAGAAACTAATAAGTAGATTATTTTTTTCAATCACTGTCAAGTTTTAAGAAAATTTTTATGGTCAAAATTACTTAAATGAGGGACAAATCTACTTTTATATGAGACTATTATAAGACTTGTATTTATATAAGACTCTAAAAACTGGACATCAAATAAAAATACACATAGTTTAATATTATTCATTTGATTGATATTTATATTATTGAATTCCACAGAAAATATTGTTTTTAGCTAACAAACACAATAATGCAACTATGTAATCAGACCATTATTCTCATAAAATTTTCTTTTCGCTGTGCCAGGTAGAATTATATAGCTGTGTACTGTAAAAAATTACCTACATAAATCAGAAACACTGTATTTGTGTAATAGATTATTAGTTCATAATGCTTTATATGTAACAGTCTGCAGTCCACTGCTTGTGGAAAGTAAAAACATACACAAATTCATAAAAGTTTGTGAGTAGCATCACCTGCATGGTGAAATTTGTACTTTTCAAATTGAATTTTGTACATGGTATTGAAATTTGTACAAGTATTTTGCTCTTGTCAAGGTAGTTCACGTTGAATATTTTTCGTCTAACATTGATAAATACTATGTTCTATGGTATGACTAAGGAGTATGCAAATTTATAAATATCTAGTATAAAGAATCTTTTTGAAGTTTTTGTGCATAGAAAACTCTGGATCTTTTAGATGCTGATTCCATAATTCTGATCACAGAAGGATTCATTATGCCTCATCTGACTAACTCAGCATCTTATGAATTACTGATAATTTGGCAAGTTCATTCATTGTGATGATAAAAAACAAATACAGTAAATACAATAACAACATACCCTTTCGGCTGCAGTTATATGCTTCTATGATTGATGGAAGTGTACATTATAAATACAGCAATGTCATAACTCTTCAAATACATACATATGCATCTACACTTATTGAAATTATTTATTTTATTGAAGAAATCTTATTGAAATTATTTATCTAAAATTGCTTGATTCTTCAAAATATATTTACTTTAAATTATGTATTTGATATTACTATAGCTTTTTAATATATTTTATACTTTTTTTTTTTTTTTTTTAGGAAAATGTTGGCGAAAATATGCGGGCTGCTTTGAACACTTTTCTTTATCGAACAGGGGACCAATCTGATAGGTAGGTGAGTTTGCAGTAGAAGCGAAATCCATAAAATTTCATTACATCTTCTTCTTCTTCCCCCCCCTTTTTTTTGTGTGTGTGGGGGGGGGTAAAAGATGTATTTATATTTCTGAAATTTGTTAAATTCTTTTAAAAGTAATGAAATTATTTATTTCACTTTTCAGATTTATGCTAGTTTTAGCTAGTAATACTCCAGAGCAACTCGATTGGGCAATGAATGATAGAATGGATGAAGTTGTTCAGTTTCGATTGCCAGGCTTGGCTGAAAGAGAAAGAATGATACGCCTCTATTTTGACAAATTTGTTCTCATTCCAGCCACAGAAGGAAAGAGGTATGTTATGCTTATAATTTAAACTAACAACAAGTAAGCTTTGAAGTATATTATTATTCCTTGAAATTTTAGTATTGCTGGAAACATACTAATGCAAATCAACAATAAATTAACCATCAGAATATGAAGCAGATGAGGATAAACTCCTACTTTAGCCTATATCAGTTAGTTTTTTTTTTTTACTTATTCATACTAATGAAAAAGATTGCTCCTCACAACAAGTTCAAGTACAGCTAAATTCAGGTATTAATCTTATCAGCTTTGGAACTTAATCTAAGATAGGTTTGTCCTACAAAATCTAATGAACTGTTAATACGCTGTAAACTTTTTTGATTCTTACGTATTATCTCATCCTCCTTAGTAGAAGTTGACAAATTTTTCGGCTGCACCAAACACTTTCAACCATGCACATAATCATTCTTAAGGTAAATCATGTTTATAACGTTCCTTCAGTCAGACAGTTTTGTCGCCAATTTTGCATGCCTTCTCTTTGTTGTATTCCATTTTCAACGGTTTTTATAAATAAATCTTGATATCTTTTGCGTTAAATTTTAAAATATGTACTTATGAAATTTGTTGACAGTGAAAGAAGCTGCAGAAAAAATTTCTGTATATTGCTACAAATCGCTAAAAGGAACACTGAGGAAAAGCTTTGATAGATCACAGCGAGCGGTTGTGCTCAATTCCGAGTTTCTGCAGTTATCTAATGTTTTTTAAGTGAAAACAGATTGCTGTGTAAATGGAAAGAAAAGCATAAAGGAAAAAAAAAAATCAGGATGCTATCACAAAAAGTGTGTTTTATATTTTAGTATATCATATAAATTTTACTTAATAATTAAAATTTGGGTTTGAAATTATTATTCTTTTGATATTGATAGATATATATTATCTTTGTTGATAATGTCTGCCAACTTACAGTAAATATTGATAATTTGAAAATTATTTCATTAAATTGTGAGAAAGTAGTTGCATTAGTACATGACTACCCTGTTTTGTTTACATATAGGAGCATTTAAAATATTATGAAAAGTATATTTTAAAATGTAATGGAATAGAAAAACTGTACATTTGTCTGGTATTAATTGTATATTTTTTATCAAGGAGATTCCAAGTAGCAACTTTTGATTATGGTAAAGTGTGCACAGATATATCAAATCTAACCGAAGGCTTCTCTGGTCGTGAATTAATGAAACTTGCTTCTGCTTGGCAGGTAAGAGTTTTTTTAAATATTCTTTTGTTAAATTTCTGAATATGTTTTGGAAGAAGTTTAGTAAGAGTAAGTGATTGTATTTGGTTAGAAAAGTCATGAAGTGTTTTTCTGTTTTCAAAGGACATTTGTTTATGTAAAGAAAAATGATCAATTGCTTATTTTATTCAATAGCATTTTACCATCATTCAATGAGCTTTATAGTGTCTTTTATAGAAGAACCTGTCTTTTAGTGAAAAACTAAACAAGATGCTGATTTTCGTCCTCATCTCAATTGCACACGCTACTTACACAAGGAGTTTTGAAAAGACTGAAACAAATAGAAATCTGATTGTGTAAGATCATGCAAATACAGTGTGTATGGCAACACTTACCATCCATGCTTTAATAATTTTTGATTGATGATTGAACTTTCTTTTGTGTCTTGTTATTATAATAAAACTCATCTCTTTTACAAGCTGCAAAGTCTGAACATTTCTGGTCGATATTCTTTTGTTAATGTTCAAATAATCTAATTACTAAGAGTGCATCTTTGATTTGACTGTTTAGTTCTTTGATAGAAGCAGAACATCTTTAAAATCTGAACTTAATCTTCCTGTGATGAATATCTGTTCTTGATGCTGTTTAGGGCAAACTATTCCATTAGGACCAAAACCATTTGTTCAGCACGTCATTCTAAATAATTCACTATTCCTCAGCAGTTATCAGTCACTTCATAAAAGAATTGTTTTCCATGCATATAATAAAAATATTCTTATGAATTTTGTACATAGAAGATTTTAGCACAATTGTATTTGAAATTGTATTTTTCTGTGTAACGTAGCGTGAAAAATCTTGAGCGAGAAGCTGTACTGGGAACGTAAGAATATAGTAACAAGGCCATTTAACATTGAGTAAATGGGTATCTTGGTAATTTGGCAAGATATTGCCGAGCTGGTAACGGTTTTCATAATGAGTATTGTAATTGAGGAAATGCAATTGATTTTATGTGTAACTGTGACTGTATTTGGCATTCATATGCCTCTGAGTAATTTCGAGGAACAAAAATTACTAGAAATATCTCGACAGCCAAGTAAAAACTATATAATGTCGGAGAAAGTATCTGCTCTCAGTTTTGTTGTTGTGAGTTAAATTAGTTTAAAATTAGTTTCCATGAGTGCTTTTGGAACCGGATATCAAGTTTGCTTACGTTTCTTCTGGCGATCATAAGCACTTGAATGGTGAATGTTGAATCTTTTGTGAGGTGCAACATGGATTTGACTTGATTGTCAACCACCTCAGTTGGCCTCCCTGATGGAGGAGCACTACTGTAATCAAAATGTCCAGCACAGAATTTTATGAACCTTCATTGCAACATACATTATTCTAAAGCACTGCCACCATGTAGCTTTTCACAAGTTTGATTATAGCTGCTAGCTCTCATTTTTTTTTTTTTTTTTTTTTTTTTTTTTTTTTCCCCACTTCTTCGTCTTCTGAAGGAAAGTATTTTTCAGGAATTTGTGAATGTTATTGAATTGATGAAACTTAAACTGCATGAATTCCATTCTCCTAGCTGTAGTGATTTTGAGCATAAATTACTAAATTTTATGCAATCTGAATTGTCTTAATCTACTGTAGGTATTTCTAGAACTTTTTATGAAATTACAAGCACTTAATTGGTTAATATTCCTATTTCATTTAACATAAATATAGTATTTTCTTGAGTTTATATACCCAACACTGTATACTTTAATTATTCATGTGATTTTTAATATATATTTAAAATTACTTGGGGTAATTAAAGCTTTCATTCCTTAATCGGGACCATGTCAATAAAAGAATGTAAGGAGCTTAGATTATGAAATTAGCCAAAGACTGAAATTTAGATAATATAATATAAATATCTATAATTAAATATAAATATATCATCAAAATCATTTTATAAATAGTTTAATAACCTGAATAATGCATAAAGTAAATTTATGTCAATTTGAAGTTCGTTTGAAATGACATCATCAAAATGCAGAAAATGACATGACTCTCAGTAATTTCCCAATTTTTCATATTTCAAAGCTGGCAGCTATGCTGATGCATGTTCTTCCTTTTACAGAAGTAAAACAGTAAAATCTGGTGAAAATGAAGTTTGTTTTTTTGCCTTCAATTTGCAAAATCTCTAAAACTCAACCTAATCCCTAAATTCTTTTTGTAAAGAAAGATGCTAGACCAATCTTAATCTTAAATGACATAGGAATAACATAGATGCAAGTGATTCCAATATTTCAAAAATGAAATAGCATCATCTTTTGCAAAAATGGATCACAACTTTTCCTACAAACCGCTATTTGACATCAAACTGATATTTTGTTTTTCCTTTATAAGCAAATTATTCTATTTTCTGTGTTTAAATTATTTGCATTACAGTTTTTCAATACTTTAAAAAGTATCGCAATAATTTGTGACCCCTTTTCTGTTTATTATTATTATTTTTGTCTTTGTTTTGTTTTGTGAAATGTTGAGACAGTTGCCTGGTGATAGATGAAAAATTTGATGGCAGCTGGAATCATTTCTAATATAATAGAATCTTTTGTTTAAAATGTTATATCACCATTGTTTCTGATTGCCAGTGCAGAACTGGGTCTAAAATGACATGCCTGATTTCCTTCCTATTTCCGTTCTACAACTCAAATTATGAAAGTGCCAAATTTTGTAAAAATTGTACCAGTCATTTTTTAAAATATTAGCTCTCAAAATTTTAGTTTCTTGATGTTAATTGAATTTGGTGTATGTTTATTGGTATCTCTCTTTCTATCAAAATCTGAAATTTATGTTCAGTGCAAATAAAATTCTTACATTTGTATTTTTTAGTAATTTTTATAAAGTTTTTGAAAAAATTTTGAATTAAAAACCTATAAAATTTTCTGCCATAATCTTAAAAGTAGATGTGTTTGTAGGTGTACTTACAAAATATATATATATATATATATATAATTTTTATTCACAATTTTCCAAAATATACGTGGTTTTATATATTGGCATGCTTTGAAATTTGTGTAATAATAATTTGTATAAGTGATAGTAATGCCAAATATGGTTTACGCACTTTTTAAAATTATTTGAAAGAGTGAACCATGCACCTTTTATTCTGCTCATGCGCAGTGAAAGTGAAAGGAAAATTGGTTACCATAAATTAAGAATTTCAGCAAGGGAATTATTCTTGGTGCAAATTGAAAAAAGTGTATCAAGTAAGTTTTTAAAATTTAGACATAATTTGAGTTGTAAAATTGAAATATGGAAAAAAAATGGTATGTCATTTCAGAAACAGTCTGATTTTGTTTCGAAGTACGTATGTTAGACCAATGCTGTATATAAATCTAATATATGTCTTAAGTTGCACTTTTAAGACATGAAAAATGCAAGTTAAATTTTGTCAATCTTCCCACTAGAACAGGAGATACGGAATTGAACCATTTTTGTTCTGTGCAAGGTGTACATAGTTTTAGTGCAAAATTACAATTAAGCATAAGCTTTTATGAAATTTTAATAATTTTTACAAAAGCTGTTCTAATTTGACAATCTGGTGCCCAGAATCAACATTTTATGAACTTTTCAATTTAATTTCTTATGTCTTAAGTTTTAATTTTTTTATGATAAGAGTTTTCTACGTGTAATTGTTTAAAGTTATTCTGTTATCTGTCAGTTTTCTTTGTAAAACTCATATAACACTTTTTTTTCTTGAACTTTTTCTGAAAATTTCTGTTTTTTATTTTCATGAATTTGGTAGGTATAAACTGTGCCAACATTTCCAGAATTCTTAGTAATAATAATAGGTTTAGTAATAAGCATGCATTGGAAAATCATTTGCTTTTCATGATTGATAATTTTTTTAAATACTTTTATTTTTATTTATTTATTTATTTATTCCATTAATGTCTAAATTTGCTTTCAGTTTGCTGCATATGCATCCGACGATGGCGTCTTGACTGAAGACATGGTGATGTCTGAAGTTCGTAATGCCATAAAGCAACATGAGTATAAAGCAAGCTGGCAAACCATAGAAGAAGCTAAAAAACAAATTCTAGAGGGATCTGTATCTAGAGCAATACCATTAGAATATCCTCAAGCACCTGCCAGTTAATTAAGGTTTAGAAATTAGGTTAATTAAATTAATATTAATAATTTTTATAGTTATTTCCTGAACATATGAAATTGATTTGAAAATGATAAATGCTTTGAATGGGAAGTGTTTGAAGAAGATATTCAATTGTTGAGTTAGTTTGACAAGAGAGAAAATAATTAAAATGTCACATCTTTTAATTGCATTAATTTAATATAAATACAATACTTGATGGAAGTTTGTCAGTTTGATCAAAATGCTGATGGAGAAAAACTGAAGTAGAAAGGACAATTATTCATTTTCAAATAGTACTATTTATCCATCATTTTCATTTGTGTACATTTTCTACATGAAATGATATTGAAACAACTGATTTATATCTAAATACACTTCGTATATAAATATCTGAAAAGAATCTTTAAATATCAATTCAAGTATATTTTTATATGAATAATTATTTCAAGAATAACTGAGAAATGTGCCAGCTACATATACAAGTATTACTGCATTTATCAACATTCTCATTTTTCAGAAATTTTATTTTAGTAAACATTTATTATCACCACTGCAATAACTATTTTATTTAAGGAAAAGAAGTGATTATATAAGTCAGTAAAGATCCCCCCCCCATATTTAGTAATTTTGCAAACACCAAAACTTGTATTAGCCTTCTATTATTATGTTATTGCTTTTAGGAACTATTGTAACAAATATATAGAGAGCTGTCAACCTTAGATTTATTATATTATGAATACTTTTTTAAATTCCTATTCTTGCTTATCTAATTTTTAAGAGATCATATTTCCAAGTATCATGAGCTTCATGGTATGTGTCTCCAAGAATAGAAGTAATATGTATTTCCCCTTTCTCTTTATGTGTATTTATGTACGAGTTTTTATACTTTTTTGTAAAAGATAGTAATTTTTTATCATCGCAGAAAATGTTAATAAGAAAAAATATGTAGTTTTTAATATAAATGAAAAAATTATTCTTCATTTAATCTGAAATGTGTAGTTAAATAAAAGGAAGATTGAATATTTTAATATAATTTCTGCTAGTTATAATAATAATAAAGTTCTCGTAGTATTTAGACTTGATTCTTAATTTCAGTTATTTCATAACCTTATAGAGAATAACTGAGAAATAAAGATTTACTCAAAAAAATAAAGATTGCCTTTATGATCGCATGACCAAAAAAATTAAAATATTAATGCATAATAATTATGGGGTGATCTACGCTGATAAAAGTGTCACTGTAAGTAAAAAATTATTGAGTTATAAATAATTGTTAAGTATATTTAATTATATTAATTTATTTGTATCTTAAAAATTATTTCTGTAATTAAAACTTGCATAACTATATATATAATCTTACCCTGCTTAAAAGTACTTAACCGGCCCTTATTTTTACAGTCATTGGTTCATTGGTCATAATCACATACTTCCAATAACAGAAATGTGTTAAATGATCAAAATATTCATGTTTTGGCAATGTCAGATTTTTAGAAAATTAAACTTTTGACAAATAATAAAATCTAACTACGTACATAATATCAGTTTATATGTGTAGTTAGTATTATAAATAACTATAAATATCTAACAGTATTTAATATGAGTTTACTGTTGCAGCAAAAAATGTGTATAATAGTGAACATAGAAGGTCATGGTGTCCACTTCAGAATTTTTACAAATATGTAAAAACAAGTTTAGGAGTTATAACTGTAGAAAATGCAAGAATTTTTTTCATTTATGCTTAAGTTATTTTGACTTCGTTGTACATCTTGTAATTCACTTTGAATACTGATCACTTTGATACAGCAAATTAAATTGGAGCATAATTAAACCATACAAATTTTAATGTGTCCCAAATTGACGTTTGATTAGTTTTCATACCCTTTCTGATTCTGTTTTCATATTTATGAATTTAATTAGCAGTGCATAATAGCTTTTACAGTATGCATATAGTATATTAATTTGTTTTGTTGATATTTTTTTGCATCAGTATGGATTTTTTTAACTGGAATTAAAGTTACATACTAATACTGAATACTAAGGGCCTATAAGTAAGACAAATGGCAAATATTAAGGAAGAATCTGCAGCTCAAAATTGCTGTAGAATAGCAGATTCACATTTGTCTTTGAATTATAAGCTAATATTTTATTTCAAATATTTTTTCAGCAGACACATGTACAGAAATGATAGTTATTTTACATTTTGCATGGTTCTTAATTCTTTTTAATCATATTTTTTATTAGTAATAGATCATAAAAAGCAATAAAAACATGCTTTGTGAATTTTTCTCTCACTTTTTTGTGTCATATATATATAAGAATCAAATTTTAAAATGTTAATATACAAGGAAGATTCCCATGCCCCACAATAAAAAAATTATCCTTATGCAAATTTTTTAGTCTCTTTGATTTTATTAATGAAATAGGTCCTAAAAATCTTTTGATAGTAAGATAGTTTAAAATTGAAAAACATAAATTTTTGTGTTCCATATTAAATTATGCAAAAGGTTGACAGCTCTAATATCCAAGCATAGCTGAAACTAATCTTACACTGATCAAAATGATGAATAATTATATATAATCTAGGCTAAAAGTACTCTGATATAAGAAAGTCTGACTGGTTTAGATTTTTGAAATAAAATTTATATATTGTATATTATATATTAATATGCATGTGTACATATAATGTATGTATATTCATTCATCATAAACTTAAGTCAAAGAGAGTTCATATTTCGTTGTATAGCTGATTAAATAAATTTTTCTAAAATACTGGAAGTGGTATTTATAGTTTTTTAAATCGATACAAAATGACTGTAAACTAGATAAAAAGAAGATGTCAAATAAAGGCCACTTGATTGATTGATTCTTGTAGAGTACGCAAGGGTTATATAAAAGGAAGTTTGTGTTTGTCGAGGTCCTTTTAAAGAAAACTAGCTCATATTCACATTATACATAGAGAAAATCACAAAATCTCTTATGCAGCCAGCTCATTTGTTTGAACCTTGATTATCAACTGTCACTGGTGGGCTTTGATTGATTCTAGAGCAGATTGCATAAGGCCAATTTCTACAGCAGGAAGCTATCTTCATAGATCTAAAATAGTACAACTTGTTGCTCTGAACTTAGTGGAGACTGGCATAATGAAAATTCATATTAAACAAATAACTAAAAAATTATGAAAAAAGATGTAAAAAATTGTGAAATTTTCAAAATATATTGTAAAATTTTATAATCTGAACTATCTTTAATTTTTTTAACATATTTATTAGATGCATATACATAGTAAATTAATTCATTAATATTAAAAATACATTTACATGATGTGTTCCAATTATTTAAGACATGTTTACTTTGGATTGCTGTGGTTCACAACTTAATGAATTAATTGGATTTAAGTAAATTGATCTTTTTGGTTCATTATTAAATTATGGACATTTCTTACTGGTGACATATTCACATTTTTACCTTACTACATGATACAATTTAAATGTTTCTTCCCTGTTTAACCAACATTATTTTTATTAATATTTTCTTCAGAATTCACCATTGCTGTCACACTATCTGCTTCATTTAAAATTTGATAGCCGGGATCATCATCACTGTGTTTCAGCCACAATTAAATTTTCTCCAATGACATAGCTTCACCATCTTGGTGGATGTTTCATTGAAAATTTTGTGTCTGATATCTAATTATTTCACATTATATTTAAATTCATCAATAGTTTTTCCAGAAATTGGTGTTCAAATTTTAATACTTTTGCATTTAGTTATACAATAATTTATATTATTCCAAGAGTTGTCAAGATTAATAGGGTTTATATTAAGGAGGGTGTACATTTTTATTTTAAGGGAAATTATAGTCAAATTATTTTTTTTTAATTATGAATGAGTATTCTAAACCTTTAGGCATATTTTAAAATTTTATTAGAATTGATAAATTCTAAGGAAATGGGGGTTCTAAATTTTCAAAATTTTACCATTAATAAATGCATATGTTATAGCTATAGAATAATATAAATTATTATTAGTATGAAGAATTTCATTTAATTGATTTATATTTTTCTGATAATTTGACCTTGGGGCTAATCTGACTGAATATAGGAATCAGGACTTTTGTAATTATATCAGAAATATTTCAATATCGTTAATTTTTTCATTTTTACTTTTTTTCAAATTTTTCTTTGGATTTTCCATTTAATATATTCACTAATATGAATAGATTTGACGTTAGAGGTGTCAAGTAAAAATCTGAGAGCATTAAAGAAGTTTAAAATAGTATTATAAAGACCAAAATATCTTCTTCAAGTTCATGCTGAAAGAAGTTAGATTCAACTTTATGCTAGTTCTTAATTGGTTCTTTCTCTGCAATTAACTTGTTTTCAGATAAATACTATCTTTCTGTTTAAGACAGTTTTCCAGTGGTTTAGATGGAAAGGAACCACATAGGCTAAATTCCAGATCATTGTAATAAGGAGAATTTAATTACAAAGCAGTTTCCAGTGGCTTTAGATCCAGTGGCTTTAGTGGCTTAGTTTCCAGTGGTTTAAGACAGTTTTCCAGTGGCTTTAGATGGAAAGGAACCACATAGGCTAAATTCCAGATCATTGTAATAAGGAGAATTTAATTACAAAGCAAGAAATAATTTATAAATTTTGCCCAGTACAAAAAAAAGTTATTTTTTCTGCTAGATAGGATTTCTCATAAATCTGGATACATTTAAAAAAATCAGCACATTGGTTTAGCTGAGTGTAATTTGCAGTTGCAGAAGAATTTTGGGGGCAAAAGCTATTTTAGTTCAAATTTTCAGTGACAAATGGTATAATTATTACTGAAAAATATGTCAATTTAAAGCCTTTAAAAGACAGGTGAGTAACTGAGGGCTCATGATTAACAGTTTGATGCAAGAAAACTTATTTTTTAACCTGTTTGTATGTTTAACATGTGTGTCTAAAATTTGCTTTGCTTTTAATGCATGTATGACATATTCATTAAGGTTGAGCTGCTTATTCAAGACGATTCCTGCGTGTTTGGCAGAGCTTACTGTTGGGAGTAGTTAATTATCAATTTGTAAATTAAGACCGTCCTATTGATTTTTGCGATATCTTTTGAAAAGTATGACACAGTATTTTCCTGCATTCAGTTTTACTTTCCATAGTTTGCACCCGTGTGCTATGTCCTGATTGATCTGGAAATGATGACAAGTGTCATCTGCATATTTGACTGTTTTGCAGTTTATAGGCTCCTGCATATCATTTAGATATATATTGAAGAATGTTGGAGCTAAGACCAATCCTTGTTGTATTCCAGCACATATGAAGTTGTCCTTTTAGAGAGCTTATCACCGATTCTTATTTGGAAAGTACGATATTGCAGGTATGATGATAAGAGATGTGTTATAATGCTTGATAACTCGATCATAGTAAGTTTGTATCAGGCCTTTATTCCAGGTTTCATCAAAAGCTTTTTCTAAGAAACAGGCTGCGAAGCTGCATTTCCTTGTGAGGGCTTCGGCAGTCTTTTCAGCTACATTTATAATTTGCAATGCAGAACTGTGATCTTTTTTTAATCCAAACTGGTTATCTTTGAGGACATTGTTTACAGTAAGAAGTTCACTGAATCAGGTATGTATCGCACGCTAGAAGATTTTTCCAAGCCAGGTAAGAAGGCTTATTATAATTAATTGGTTGGAATTTGTGGATCTTTGCCCGATTTGAGAAATGTAATTATGATCGCATTTTTCCACTGTTGAGAAAAATATGCTAACCTTAAGCATGCATTAATGATGTTTGTAAGCCAGATGGGCTATTTAAATCGGATTTTCTACTGTAGCATCGTAGTCTATGAGTTGTTGAAAGAGATATTCTGAATTGAATAGTTTTTTGGAAACTTTATGACTCTAGGTTAAGATGAGGTTGCTGTTGTCATGTCTATGACAAAGCCTAATGAAATAGTGCCATGGGCTAAGATAGAGGTGGTTAAGATGAAATCATGACTACTGTTGATTTTTACTTCTTGAGGAATTTCTTTTGCACCAAGGAGCGTTGATAATAGATCTGAGAATTTTGTTCTGAAATATTCAGGGTTCATACGGTCCTTAAGAGTCCTTAAGTTTTTTTAATCGATTTTTGGTCCTTAAAAATCCCTTAATTTTTAATCATCTGAAATTTCTGACTGTTTTTACGACTGTCATTTTAAGCGTGAATTAGCATTTTGGGGGAATATTTTTGGTAATTCTCTGACAAATATCGTTATCTTTTGAATGGGTGAATACGTTGATGGGTTATAATTTGTTCCTATTTATAATATAACGGGCGGGATAGAGTTTCGTGGCAAGTGTGAAATATAAAGCATTCGAAATTATTTCACTTTTTCTAGTGAAGAGCTCTTTTCGCTTTTGGGGAAGTAAATTCTTTTATTAACCCTCCAGGCGGCAAGGCCGTATATATGCGTTCAAAAATAATGGCTCTCATAGCGGCAAGGCAGCATATATGCATCCAAATATTTTGGTCCTCATGGCGGCAAGGCAGCATATATACGTAAACTTAAATTTTGGCAAAAAACGGCAAAACAGCATATATACGGCCTGTCTCAGAGTGCCCTCCCCTCTCTGCTCTTAATGTAAACTGACAGGTGATAATTTTTCTCTGCGGGAGGTAATTGAGGAGAGGAAACTATCTATTCGCTAGGGGCAAATGGGTTTTATCGTTAGGTTTTGAATAACAGCTCGGAATAAATAGCTCGTTCAAAACTTCCAGCTGTTCTGTGCTTATACCAGCTATAGTAAACTTAAATGTTTATGTTCGTAAAGAGAATTTTCATTTTCCAGCCTAATTATTCTCCAAATTTTAGATGCAGTTTGGCAAAATGTAATTGGAATTAAAATTAAAATTGCAAGAAACTGCAACAATATTTTGAAATATGTGATTTCAATTATATTGCAATTGTAATTAGCTTCGCAATTACTTTGCAATTACAATTAGAAAGTAAGTACTTTTTAAATGCAACAATAATGTATGTAATTGCATTTTAATTCTTAAGTCTTACAATTACAATGCAATGATAATCACAAACATTATAATTATATAGTATAATTACAATTACAAATTTTATTGCATCTAATCACAACTACGGTAATATTAGCTAATTGCAACGTAATTTTAACTGCAATTGCAGTAGGTAATTATAACTACGTAATTAGGAAAGTAATTGTCTCTGATAATTAGAATTACTTAACCTAGTGAAATCATGATCATAATTGTAATTCTAAGTGTAGTATGCAATTGTAAAAAAATTATGCAATTACTAAGTAGTTATAGTTAAAAAGTAGCTGTTTTTTTTAATTACAATTACAATTTACGTAATTTCATTTAAATTACAATTACTCTATATTTGTGAAATCCAATTTCATATTCAATGCAACTGCAATCATATAATCTAATTACAATTACACTGTCATTGTAACTCCAGTAAGTAATTATAATAATGTAATTAGGATAGCAATTGTTTCTGATAAAAGCAGTTACGTAGCCCAGGAAAATCATGATCTTAATTGCAAATGTAATTGCAGAATGCAATTGAAAACACATAGTAATTGGAATAATATTATGCAATTATCTTGTAATTACAATGTAACAATTTTTAATTACATATACAATTTACTCAAATGCATTTTAATTATAATTGCATTTTAATTGTGAAATCTAATTGAATAAACAGTATAACTGTAATTATATATAATCTAATAAAAATTACAATGCAATTGTAATGACCTCTTA